TAGTCGCACGCTGTAATGGGGATTAAAAGTGATACAGCCTGTAAAGTGCTTCATTTATATGACAGTTTAACATTGTGTCAGAGGTTTGCACAAATTACCAAAAAAAAATGAAAAAGCAAATGTTACTGATTTGTTTACCACTCAGTTCTTTTAAGATGAAAGGCTGTGTCATTGTCTACTTGTTAAGTCAACATTGTCTAGCAGTGTGCTGTGTAAACCATCAATAAATACTGAGTTTAAATTCATATTGCATGCCATCATTTAGATTCATGCTTCTTTCTGCTTCCGTTCTTGTGTGTTTTATCTCCATTTTTTCTCTTTATTTGCTTCAACCTTTTGTCTTCTGTGTTTCAGCAGTCATAAAAGTCCCAACAGATAGGTGAGGAAAATAAAATTTAAAAACCCTCTGTATTAGGCAAAGCAGTCACTGAATACAAATGAAATTTAATTTAGACCTACATTGAAATAGGGATGGTTGGTGTATCACTGTAACTCCTGGAAATGTATTCATAGCTTTGACTTCTCCCCAGCAACTCTGGGTGGGTCACTGTGGCAATCCTGTGTATAATCGCTCTCCCAGGGTCTGGCGTAGGTATCAGGAAGTTCTGTCTTCATGCTGATTCTTTGAATAAAAAACTTCAGATTCCATCACGGTGACTGCCATTACCTGATGAATCACCTCAGCCAGCAGCACTTTGTGCTGGAGACCGGCCTCACAGAAAAGTGCAGAGTGTAGGACCTGGGGAACCATAAGTTGGGGACTGGACTTTCCTCCTGTTCTGATTTTGGAAACAGAGTTCCATCTGGGTGTTCTCTGGCTCTGCTTTGAACAGCTGCTTCCCCAACAACTCTGAACAACCCCCTTCTTTGCCTTATTCCTTAAACTAGGTTTTTACAGTTAATGCTGTGGTTAATGGTTTCCAAAAAATGGTATCTGTAAACATCTGAATGTACACACTTTTGCCTAACTATTGAGAAATCTGAAGTACATAATGCAAAGCCTGGGTGTACATGCCCATAGAAAGTAGCTCTTAAGGAATCATCTATGACCGAGTGACGAATGCAAAGGGAATGAAGCCTTTTTTCTCTCTGGGCAGAGTTTTGGACCAGCCTTTCTAACAGATTTCTTTGGAATGTAGGTGTTCACTATTGAATACACCATTCAAAGTCTTGTTTGTTTTTAATTTGTGTACCATAGCAGTTTCTTAAAAACCAAATGGTAGACCCTAAATTGAATAGTGCCAAAATGCGAACTCAGTTGTGAAGTATGTGGGAATCATCCAACCCACTTTGAGAGCCTCAGTTGCAGCCTGGGAGAACTCCATGTCACCTTCTAGTCAACATTCTTGAGTACTGCCAGACTGAAAAAGCATCTTTAGATTGTAGTACATTTGTTTGATTATTGCTGAGAATACCTTCCATATTGGCTTCTGCTTTTTTTTTTTTAATTACAAGTGTGCATATTTTGGGGATGCTATTGTGTTGGTTTTGAAATTGAGATTTTGATATATGGTGCTTCCACCCCCTCTTTATTTTGGTAAGAAGAATAAGAGAGAATCCAGGTAACTTTGTGTGTGTTTAGGGAAATTAATGTTAGAAATTATCCCTGAGAGGTTTTTTAAAGGTCTTTTAAAAATATATTTCAGGTAATATTTCTGTTCATGTACAAGTATCTGTAGATAGAAAAATGAATGCACAAGAATAATTAGGAGTTTACAACTTGTATACGGTGTATTAGATTTCAAATGGTAAGAATTTCTTATCCTAATGTTACTGTAGTAAATTGGACTTTAGTTCCTTTTACTGAGTATCCTGAGGATAAATAGTTTGAGACTTGCAGTGTTTAAATTAGTTGTCTGATTTTGTAACAATCTCCATGGGTTTGTTATATAAGCCTAAGAATTCTGCTAGGTCACATTGCTCATTAGGTGGACATGGTCTCACTTCTGATTTTATAACAGTCTCCATGGGTTTACTTACATAAGCCTAAGAATTCTGCTGGGTCACGATGCTCATTAGGTGGATGAGATCGCATACTGTTGTGTGACTGTGCTGACCATAGAGAGCACCTGTAGAGTCTGTATCACTGCAAGCTGGCAGTGGAGTGGGAGAAGTGGCATCATGGGGCACTTTGTCTGCTCTTTGCACTCGGGCTTACCAACATTTCACATCTTCACCCAGTGTCCTGTGTGGGTAAATTATCCATTAGTTACAGCTATCTGTGATGGAAAGGATGGAAAGCTAAGGTTAGGTTTTTACTATTAAGTAAACTTTTCTATTTACTTAATGGAACCTGTACGTGTTGGGGGTTAAAAAGTAGCGATGCAGGGAGCAGCATGTGAGTTGAGGTACATAATAGTGTAAGAAGAGAGATCTGTGGCCAGTGTTGTAGTGTAGCAGATAAAGCTGCCTCCTACAATACCAGCATCCTATATGGGTACAGGTTCAAATCCCAGCTATTCCACTTCCAGTTCAGCTCCCTGTTAATGTATCTGGGATGGCCCAAATATTTGGGGCCATGCACCCATGTGGGAGACCCAGAAGAAGCTCCTGGCTCCAGCTTCAACCTGGCCTAGTCCTGGCTGTTGTAGCCATGTGGGGAATGAACCAGCAGATGGAAGATCTCTCTCTCTCTCTCTCTCTCTTTGTGTAACTCTTTCAAATAAATAAATTTAAAAAAGAAAAAGATCCATAGATGGGTAATTGAGACCATCTGTTAAAGGAAGAAAAGTTACTTTGATGAAAGAATAAAGTAAAATAATGAAGGATCTAATTTTGAGGATTTGATTCCAATATTTCAGTGTAATCTGTAATTTTGATAAAACTTTTAGCCTGATAATAAATCCATTTTAGTAAAGTGAAAATTGAAATGTCTTGTGACTAGTGTGTTCTTTATCGTCATAATTCAGTAATTTTAGCCTTTATTTTTAGATAGGATTACTGACTACATATTGCCATAATTACTTAAGGATATAGTCTGTGTCTTTTACAGTTCTGTTATTGGAATATGTCATCAGTGCGTTTTACTGTTTTCACAGCTGTTGACTCAATATTCTCAATTTGTTTTCTGTAATCTAGTTTGTTCAGTTCATTGCTTTAAAAAGTTTTGTGAACATTTAAGAAAATGTTGAACTTCTTGAATTTATGAGACTTTTAAAAAGTAATTTTAGTCTGTTCTTTGCTCTTACTAATTTTTTCCTGAACTTTAGTTATAAAACCCAAATTAGTTTTTTTCATATTTCTTAATATGAAGGTATTCAAGAAGTTAATGGAAATGCAAATATGAAAAAAGTAGACAGGGGCTTGGTGATTTTTGTGCAGCAAAATAAACTTCACTGTGTTGTCCCATGAACTTTGAAGTGCCTGCATATTTAAGGAGTGTGACAACTTTGATTTTAAACCTATCAGTTTGAAATTTTGACCTAACGATTTACTAGACCATTTTTGTTATCAAAATGTTTTTTTAAAAAATGGGTTTTGGCATAAGTATATTGTTTGGTTATTGTAAAATTCGAGGTAAAAATACCTTAAGAGGTGGAATAGTCCTGTAACTCAACTTTCTACCAAGCAAAAATCAGTTAAAGACAGCTTAGGTGCCTGCCTTATGCAGCAGGTTAAGCCACTGCCTATGACCTTGGCATCCCATAGGAGTAATAGTTTGCTTCTAGTCTGCTCCACTTCCTATACAGCAACCTGCACCTGGGAAAGCAGTGGAAGATGGCCCAAGTGTTTGGGCCCTACAGCTGACCTGGGAGACCTGAGACCTGAATGGAGTTCCAGGCTCCTGGCTTAGCCTGGCCTTAGCCCCAGCTATTCTGGCCATCTAGGGGAGTGGGGAGTAAACCAGCTAATGAAAGATCTGTGAAACTGTCTGCCTTTCAAGTAAATAAATAAATCTTAAACAAAAGCTTAATGAAATTAATATTTGTTAATTCTGAAGTACAAAAGGAATTTGTTTAGAAATTTTGGTTAAAGTGCCAGTACCAGAAAATTCCATAGTGTTGGTATTGCCCTGGATTTCAGTGGTTAAACGTTGGGAATAGGATATATGTGGTAGCTTCTATCCTCTGAGAGTTCCTGTCTCTTAGCATTCTTCCCCGCCTTCCTCCAGATTTATCTGTGTTATTTGAAAGGCAGAGTTAGAGAGAGGGAAAGACCTTCTATCTGCTGGTTCATTCCTCAAATGACCACAGTGGGGCTGGGGCTGAGCCAGGCTGAAGCCAGAACACAGGAGCTTCTTCCAGTCTCCCACATGGGTATAGGTGACAAAGTGCTAGAACCATCTTCCACTACTTTCCCATGTGTATTAGCAGGGAGCTGGATTGGAAGTGGAGCAGCCGGAACTTGAACTAATGCCCATATGGGATGATGGTGCTGCAGGTGGTGGTTTAACCCACTATACCACAGCACAGGCCCCTCTTATCATTATAATATACACAATAATAGTATGAATCAGTTATTACTCTAAAGTTGAGATTCTTTATTTTGTCTTGTATTTTTATTTTGTCTTGTATTTTTATTTTACCGTTTTCAAATTGTGGAAATTTAGAATCCTCAATTCAGGTTACCTTCTAGAAAAGCTTATTAACTGACTTGCAATTTGAGAAAGCCTTAATCATTCTGTGTTAACAGAGGGGGAATAGAGATAAGATAAATATTAAAGTCATGAGAAATAAAATACTGACTAGTCCAGCTCTGTGCTTGCTGTTTTTCTCATCCAACTCTTGTTTGGATTTTTTTTTTTTTACCTCTCATGTAAGATTGTTGGCCACTAATTTTTAAAATTACAGATGTATGTCTTTTCATGGGTGAAATGTCTTGTCCTTAAGTGTTAGATAAGATCATATTGTAGTAAGATCGCTGAAATGGAAACAGAAGAAATAAACTAAGAAGACAGGTGATGTATTGTTGGTGAAATCCTATCTTCAAGAACTCTGAGTTTTCATAAAGCTCATATTCACCAGTTATCAAACTAAAATAGTATTGCTATTCTGTTTCAGCATCAAAGCTGGGCGACTCCTGTCCTGCATTCCGTATCAGCTGTACAACAAGCAGTCTGCTGTGCAGAAAAGTCTCACCTTCAGTGCTGCGTGTAAACCTGAGGATCCCCTGCCAGGTCCAAGCAGTATAGCCAAACAATTCAACAACAGGGTGTAAGTTTATCTAGCTTGGGAATACTACATACCTGATGTTTAGCAAAGAAGATAGAGAAAAATACAAGCTGTGGCCTGTAGTAAACTTACTGAAATAATGTAAGGGTGTCTTACCTAAAAACTAGTTTTTTGACAGAAGTTTCATGAAATGTAAACAAAATTTTCCAGTTATACATTAGATTTTGTGTGAAATGAAATGAAATGATTAGTAAATTTTTTTTAGTTTCCTGAATATTATTTCTTCATAAGTAATTTGACATGGAGTGTTACTTTCACAGAAGACTGAACTAACTACATAACCATACTTTGGTTGTATGCCTTGTGTGTAAAGACAAGATGTCAATGTTTCTAGGTTATTTTTGAAAAATCAGAATTTGTATCTATAATTCTAAATATACAAGTATTTTATGTTAATAATAGTTTAGTTGCTGATGCTGAGTTACAGAATTGGGAATGAATGTAAACTTTATTTGATGTGATTTATCTCATTTTTTTAAAATACTGATTTAACCTTTATTCACAATAGTCCTGGGCAAATTGGTTTCATAAGTAATTGGTGTGTTGCCTTAACTTATATATCAGGTATTCATTATCATTAGTCTTCTTACTTATTAAATTGCTTGCTTTGGGAGTTTGATTTTTTTGTTTTCCAAAAGATCAGAAGTTAATTAACATGGGAGGATCCAAAATCACTATGTTCTCTAATTTCTGTGGTTATTTGGTATTTAACTTGTATTCACTTAACAAGCATATTGGAGTGTTTTTCTCATTACCTAAAGCTTTTACTTTTTTAGATAATAGTAAGGTATATAACCTGATATCTGAAAGCTTTTCCATAGAATATATATGAATTCACTTTTTTTCTTACACTAATTAAAGAGACAGTAGATATCTTTTCAAATTCTTCTTTCTGACAATTTTAGAAGAATTTACCTATTAAGTTTTACCTTTTTTTTTTTTTAAGATTTTATATATTTATTTGTGAAGTAGATTTAGAGAGGGGAGACAGAGAGAAGTCTTGCATCCACTGGTTCACTCCCCAAATGGCTGCAATGGCTGGAGCCTGGGCTAGGCCGGGTCGGGCGGGGCCAGTCTGAAGCCAGGAGCCAGAGGCTTCTTCCAGGTCTCCAACATGGGTGCAGGGTCCCAAGCACTTGGGCCATCTTCTGCTGCTTTCCCAGGGCATAGCAGAGAGCTGGATTGGAAGAGGAACAGCCAAGATACAAACCGGCATCTATTTGGGATGCCTGTGCTGCAGGTGGAGGCTTAGCCCACTATACTGCAGTGCTAACCCCATGGTTTACTTCTTGATAGATTTATGCTATTCCCTAATAGTTACTTATCTACCAGTGATATTTCCAGTATAGCTGCTTCACAATTGTCCATTTACCTAGGCTTAGAAACTATAGAAACACAAGAAATATTTATTAACAATATGTTTTCTTGAATATATGTGTTTCTGTTGCATGTGTTACTGTTAAAACCGGTACCCATATGGGATGCTGGCACTGAAGGTGGTGGCTTAACCTGCTATGCCATAGCACTGGCCCCTACTGTTAAGATTTTTTAGAGGGGCCGGCGCTGTGGCGCAGCAGGTTAACACCCTGGCCTGAAGTGCCGGCATCCCATATGGGCGCCGGTTTGAGACCCGGCTGCTCCACTTCCAATCCAGCTCTCCGCTATGGCCTGGGAAAGCCGTAGAAGACGGCCCAAGCCCTTGAGCCTCTGCACCCATGTGGGGGGCCCAGAAGAAGCTCCTGGCTCCTGACTTCAAATCGGCGCAGCTCTGACCGTTGCGGCCAACTGGGGAGTGAACCATCGGATGGAAGACCTCTCTCTCTCTCTCTCTTTTTTTTTGGACAGGCAGAGTGGACAGTGAGAGAGAGAAAGGTCTTCCTTTTGCCATTGGTTCACCCTCCAATGGCCATCGCAGTTGGCGCGCTATGGGGAGCTCATCGTGCTGATCCGGAGCCAGGAGCCAGGTGCCTCTCCTGGTCTCCCATGCGGGTGCAGGGCCCAAGGACTTGGGCCATCCTCCACTGCACTCCCTGGCCACAGTAGAGAGCTGGCCTGGAAGAGGGGCCACCAGGACAGAATCCGGCTCCCCGACCCAGACTAGAACCCAGTGTGCCGGCACCGCGAGGCAGAGGATTAGCCTATTGAGCCGCAGCTCCGGCTCGCTCGCTCTCTGGCTCTCCTCTCTCTGTGTAACTGCCTTGCAAATAAATAAATAAATCTTTAAAAAAAATTTTTTAGAAACATATTTTTACACAGAAAACTGAATGTAAGATTTTTTTAAAATAATTTTTAGTGCTTTTTTTTTGCTATGTTCAATTCATTTTATAAATCTGGGTGTTTTTTTTTTTTTTTTAAAGATTTATTTATTTATTTAAAAGTCAGAGTTACACAGAGAAGGAGATCTGCTGATTCACTCTCCAGTTGTCTTAATAGCCAGAGCTGCGCTGATCTGAAGCCAGGATCTAGGAGCTTCTCAGGTCTTCCCACGTGGGTGTAGGGGCCCAAGGACTTGGGCCATCTTCTACTGCTTTTCCAGGTTATAGCGGAGAGCTGGATCAGAAATGGAGCAGCTAGGACTTGAACTGGCACCCACATGGGATGCCACAGGCTGCGGCTTTACCTACTACGCCACAGTACCAGCCCCTATAAATCTCTTTGAAATGTTCTTAAGAACTTTTGCTTTCTTGATTTCTGTTTATTGCAACGGACAGACTTTATTTGACATGTAACAAATTAGATTTTCTTTCCTTCCTCTATTAATCCTTTCCAGTTTTGTCTTCTATTTTCCCTTTCGCTGGTGTGATCATCTATGTGAATTGGATCTACTCAGAATTGGCTGTTATATTCTGTGAGATGGTTAGCCAGAGCCCAAGCCTACCTAGAAGTGGGTTGGTCATGTTTTGTATCTGACTTGTGTGCCTTTTCTATGTAGTCAGCCTGTCATTACTGATAAACCAAGTTGGTGTTAGAGTGCAAGACTATAGCCAGAACCTGGTAATCCAGTGGTGTTCTGACCTATGCCCTGGCACTGTCATCTGGATTGTAACTGTAAGTGTACTTAAGCTGTGGACATTCTCAATAGAATGCATTATTGCCCTGTAATGCAGGGTTGATTTTGTTGCTTAGATGATTTTATCATGCCAGTTAACTTTGTTGTTACAGAGCATTACCAGCAACATGTAGAGGAGCTGGGATGTGAGTTTAGCCTAAGATTTATTATTTATGAACTTGTCACTGGGAAGCTTGGTTCATACTGCCTTGGATTACCCTGGCATCTTAAATATATTTCTTATAAATAAAATGCCATTTTTTTCTTGTCGATAGTGTAAGTATTCTCATTCTTCTAGGTGTAAATTTTATTGAATTACCCCGAAACATTTACCTGGGTCCATATTTTCTCTGATATTATTTTTTTTTTTTTTTTTTTTTTTGACAGGCAGAGTGGACAGTGAGAGAGAGACAGAGAGAGGTCTTCCTTTTGCCGTTGGTTCACCCTCCAATGGCCGCCGCTGCAGCCGGCGCACCGCGCTGATCCGATGGCAGGAGCCAGGAGCCAGGTGCTTTTTCCTGGTCTCCCATAGGGTGCAGGGCCCAAGCACATGGGCCATCCTCCACTGCCTTCCCGGGCCACAGCAGAGAGCTGGCCTGGAAGAGGGGCAACCGGGAAAGAATCCGGTGCCCCGACCGGGACTAGAACCCGGTGTGCTGGTGCCGCTAGGCAGAGGATTAGCCTATTGAGCGGTGGCGCCAGCCCTGGTTCTTATTTTTTAATCTGCTTGTGTAATAGCCCTGTTGATGGGTTAATTGTAATTTTTTTTAAAGATTTATTTTATTTATTTGAAAGACAGAGATAGAGAGGTAGAGACAGAGAGAGAGGTCTTCCATCTGCTGGTTAACTCCCCAGATGGCCGCAATAGCTGGAGCTACACCGATCTGAAGCCAGGAGCCAGGAGCCAGGAGCTACCTCTACGTCTCCAATGTGGGTGCAGGGGCCCAAGGACTTGGGCCATCTTCTGCTTTCCCAGGCCATAGCAGAGAGCTAGATTGGAAGTGGAGCCGCCGGGTCTCAAACCGGTGCCCATATGCGATGCTGCTGCTTCAGGCCAGGGCATTAACCTGCTGTGCCACAGCACCGGCCCCGGTATTTTTTTTTTTAAGATTTATTTTATTTATTTGAAAGTCAGAGCCATACAGAGAGAAGGTGAGGCAGACAGAGAAAGAGGTCTTCCATCCACTGGTTCACTCCCCAACTGGCCGCAACTGCTGGAGCTGCATTGATCTGGAGCCAGGAGCTTCCCTCGGGTCCCCACACAGGAGCAGGGGCAGGCTAGCCTCCATTGCTTTCCCAGGCCACCAGCAGAGAGCTGAATTGGAAGTGGAGCAGTTGGGACTCGAACTGGCACCCATATGGGATGCTAGCACTGCAGGCAGCTCCACCGCCATGCACAGCACTGGCCCCCAGTTGGTAGTTTTTTCCTGATTAAAACTAACTGCCCTCAGTACTTTAATCCTGTTACGGCATTATTGGATTTAAGATGGTGAATAGTGCTTTACAGGAAAGCTAACTGAAACTAGAAATGAGAATTCAAATAAAGTTTTTTAACCACTTTTGTGGAAGTTAATCATAGTGTGTTAATTTAGCAAGTAGTTACTGATTTTGTAAACGCCAAGCACTGTGCTTTGGACATTCGGCATTTAGAGCTTACAGATTCAATTAAGATTTTGTGGTAAAAGCGATTAAAAATAGTTTCTTTCATTTTTCTTCAGCTATGAATAAGATTCAATCATATTTCTTCTTTTGGACTCTCTGAAGTGGGGAAATAAGTCCCAAAACCTAACAGACTGTGTTCTAGAATTTTTCTAGTAATCTTGCTACTGTGATTTAGTGAAGAATTATCATTTGTCAGAACAGAATGAATATAAAGTTTTGGTTTAATTTTCAAGAGCTTTTTTTTCCCCTCCTAACTTTATTTGAGACAGAAATAAAGATTTTGTCTTGATTTACTCCCCAAAGGACTACACCAGACAGAAGTGAACCAGGATGAAGTTGGGAGCCAGGAACCAGAGCACATGAAAATAGGGTACAGGAATTCCACCAGTTGGCGTAACTGCTAAGCCAGTAATCCACTCCCTGTCTTTGCTGTTTGTAAAGAGGGCGATAACCAAGTGTTTATCACTCTAAGAAAAAAAATTTAAGAAAAAACTGTTCAGCCTGAAAGACATTACTAACTTAAATAATTGTTTTTTTTGCTTTAGAAATCACATAATTAAGAAGATTGAGACAGAAAATGAAGTCAAAATCAATGGAATGAATAGTTGGAATGAAGATACAAGTAATGATTTTAGCTTTGTGGATCTGGAGCAGACCCTTCCAGGAAAGAATCAGAATGGAATTCTGCATCCCAGAGGCAGCAGTGCCATTTTTAATGGACACACTCATAGCTCTAATGGTGCCTTAAAGACACAGGATTGCTCCGTGCCCCTGGGCAACAGTGTTGCCAGCAGGCTTTCTCCAGACTCTGCCCAGGAGAAGGCAGCTGAGAAGAGCAGCGCTGATTTCAGAGACTGCACGCTGCAGCAGCCGCAGCAGAGCGCCAGAAGCGCAGATGCATTGCAGAATCCTCACAGAACTAGTTCCTTCTCTTCATCTTTGCACAGTAACATTAAAATCAATGGTGCTCACCATTCCACTGTTCAGGGGCCTTCAAGCACAAAAAGCACTTCTTTAGTACCTACTGTTAGCAAGGCAGCACCTTCAGTGCCATCCAAACCCTCAGACTGCAATTTTATTTCAGACTTCTATTCTCATTCAAGACTGCATCACATAGCAACATGGAAATGTGAATTGACTGAGTTTGTCAATATGCTACAAAGACAAAGTAGTGGTATCTTTCCAGGAAGGGAAAAGTTAAAAAAAATGAAATCAGGCAGGTCTGCCCTTGTTGTAACTGACACAGGTAGATAACTTACTAAAATTGTTTTTCTTAAGAAACGGTCATGTTTGATCCTTATCTTTATATCTTTATGCCCTTATATCATCATTGGTATTCTAATGAATGCTGAGTACTCATAAAGTCTCTGCGGATATCAGGTTTTACGTTACAGTAAATACTGCAGATTATGGAAAGCTTCCTTATTAATTTTTTAACTTCAGATTTAATTGTGGCTCACTGGAAATTTTCAGGTAATTTGGATAATAACACGGTTGGGATTCTGAGCATTCTGTTGCTCATGTAGACCTTATCAGTTGTTGAAATTTTGACCTGTGTAAATCTGACATGTTTTAATTCAGTGCTTAAACTCCTGTAAGAATGAAATTGATTTGGTAAGACTAATTGTTGATTTCTAGAAGATTACATCATAGTGATTTTTTCAAAAGCAAATAACTTTGACATATAACTGCTGTAATTATAGTGAAAAACTTATAGTGAGATTAAGTATTTTCACATCTTAAGTAGATCTGTTAATTGTATATTGTTTTGTTGTACTTTCCTTCTCATCAAAAACAGACCCAACAGTAAGTGGGCTATATTGTGGTGCCAGTTATTATAAGTTACTATCTGGTTGAGGGTTTAGTTGCCTTTTTTTAAAATATAGGGTTTTTTTTTTTTTTTCTTAAGAGAAACAGATCTCAGAGATTATCTAATACTACCCTTTAATTCATAGTGGTGGACACTGAGGTAAAGAGAGAAGCTCCTGGTTCTGCCCTTACTAGTAAGTGTTAGAGACTCTTGGTGTGGATTTTTTCTGTTATCTTTGACTATGTTTGATGTCTTCCTACATCGTGGCTTGGCCTTGAAACCTGAAGGTTATTTTTTTTTTCACCAGAAATCTTTTATTTAAGATATACAAACTTCATGCATTTTATGAATACATATTTGATTCTTCCCACCTGGTTATTTAATTTTGAAAGCTTCAAAGAACTATTATGAGTTAGTTCAAGAATGTGAATAAAGTGAGAAATTATTATATTGCTTAAAAGCAGTTAGTAGGTATTTGGTTCATGCATTCTGAACTACGTGAACATGTAAAATCATTAGTTTGAGTTGTTTACATTATGTTTATGTAATACTTTAATACAGCAGAATTGTGATTATTAAGATTTTAAATCATTTCTCATGAAAATATGGAGGGTGGTAAGGACATACATGGCTTTGGAATTCAGTAGCTTAGCCTGCGTCCACATCTTGGCTCTGCTGCTCTGTACGGCAGAACCGTGGGCAAGGCTGCTCTCCTCCCTCAGCCTTGTTTCCTTTCTGTCAAGGAGTGACTGCCTCTGCTCACCTTAGGAGGTTGTAAGCTTAAGAAAGATAACATGAACAAAGGTTCAGTGCCTCTCACATAGTGAGAACTAGGTCAGTGCCATCCCATTCGCAGTCTGGCAAATGGAGTTGTCCATAACTTACAGAGGGTCGATCTAAAATTTTTGGAAGCCTATTATAAAGACTATTCTCAGGTACTAAGATATTCTGAAACCTATTAGAGGAAAATTCCTGTATGAGATTCAAGCTCTGTACATTCAGAGTCCTTATTTCCAGGACTTAGGTCTCTGGAAGGCAAAGGATGAGACTGATCAGGGAGGAAAAGTGGCCGGGACTGGCTTAGTGTTAACATAACCCTCATGAAGGGTGTTAGAACCTGTTGTCCTGCGGAGAAGACACTTTTGTCTCCTTAAGTGTGTGTCAGAGCTGTTTATAGGGGAAAAATTCCACTGATACACAGAATATTGTGGGTTATTGTTTTTTAAGATTTATTTATTTGAAAGGCAGGGTTACAGAGAGGGAGAGAGGTTTACTATCCACTGTTCATGCTGCATCCGCTTGGGGTCCCCCACATGGGTGCGGGGGCCCAGGCACATGAGCCATCCCTCATTGCTTTCCCACGCACATTAGCAGGGAGCTGGATCAGAAGTGGAGTAGCCAGGACATGAAACAGTGTCCGGACGAGTGGGATGCCGGCATCACAGGGAGCTGCCTAATCCGCTGTGCAGCAACGCTGGCCCCAGGCTGTTTTACATAGTATTCCTGAAGTACATCTACTCAGACCAGTAGCATGGTAGTTTTAAGAATTCTGAAATCAAATGAAAATGAATGTCAGCTCAGGCTGTGTTAAGAGAAGCAGGTTATAATCTGTAAAATGGGTGATAAAATTGCCTGCCTCATAGTTTTGTGAGGACTTAGATATATACGTAAACATCTATCACACCTACCAAGCACTGGATGGTAGTAGCCATTTTAATTGTTATTTTGTCAAGGAATGTTTTGTAGACTCTGACGGTGCTCATGAAGCATTAATTAGCTCCCTGTAACTACAGGTATGAAGACACTTGGGTACATTTCTGTAAGCCAGCATTATAGGAATTACTATAAGCTGTGTAACAAACTATTTTAGGTAGAGGCTTAGTTTTTAGAATGTAGAGGAGGCAAGCATGGTATCTTCAGAATTGATTTGAAATTATGTTTGGAAGCAAATTAGATTTCTGTTAAGGTAGTAGAAGTTCCCTGTAATAAATAGTCTGTATTTTTAAAGACTCCATTCTGTTTGTAAGCATCTTTTAAATACAGTTCTAACATTCACTAGACCTAGTATTTTTTATATATTAAAAAAAAGTGGTTTGGGGTTTGAATACTCTCTTTTTCCTTCCAGGAAATATGTCGGTATTGAGTTCACCCAGACATCAGAGCTGTATAATGCATGTTGATATGGATTGCTTCTTTGTGTCAGTGGGTATACGCAATAGACCAGATCTCAAAGGTCTGTATCTTTGTTTGTGTTTTAAGAAAATTGATACATTGTTAACAAATAAGTATTCTAAGAGAACACTGAAGAGATTTTTTTCCCCTGGTTTGCCTAGGCCAGTTGAGTTCCTGCTTCAGTTTTTGCTCCCCATTATTAAGAACAGTGTAGAAGTTAGGGAGCTCTCCATTGCTGCAGAGAGCAACTCTGCAAGGAAGAATATTCCTCTTCAGCTTGTCAATCTAGGATTAAACAGGCAGGGGGCTGCATTGAGTGTTTTCTGTATTTCTGTTTATAGTTATTTCTCCCTTATTAATGAGTGGAAATGTTACGGTAGCCCCATCTTTAAAACTTGGTTCACTAGGCTTTCTCTTGAGTGAGTAACTTGATTAAGTGTCCTGATGCAAGTGAGTAGAATCATTTTGTATTACTGAATTTTGCTAGAATATGTCAGATTGTTTAGGCAGTATTTGTTGTAATGAAATCTCAGGTGTTTGAACTCATAAAAACTTTTTGAAGTATTTATTCTGGATTTTTCAGTAGTTATTTCTGTCTGGAAGAGATTAACTATGTTAGTATTTTCTTCTGAGAGTCATTCCCCTTAAAAAGAGAGAATAGCTAATTATGGCACAGAGGCTGCTGAGTTTATACAAGGGCTTTATTTTTGTCATGCATATTTCCTGCTGTATCTCTGAAAGGAGTTTTCAGAATGTTTAAAAATTAATTTTAGCCCAAGAGACCTTTAATGCATTGTTGGGAGTTTTTCTTTTGTACTTACAGCAGATGGTTTCAGTAAATACATATAAATCATCTATGATATTGCTTTTAGTTATCTTGTAACTTAACACATACACAAAAGAAATGAAAGTAATTTTGTAATGAAAGCAAAAACCCAAGGACTGTAGACTTATTTTTTTATATCGTTGTGAAACTGAAAGATGAATATAGATGTTAGCCCATTTGTCTGATTTCAGAACCATAAGAAGTGTTTTATATATGTATGTATATGGATTTTAGTTTTTCTATCTCCCCTTTCCCAGTCTGACTCTCAGACCTCAGTTGGCTATTTTGTATTGAAAGAGATAAAAAAGCCGGCGCCACGGCTCACTAGGCTAATCCTCCACCTTGCGGCGCCGGCACACCGGGTTCTAGTCCCGGTCGGGGCGCCGGATTCTGTCCCGATTGCCCCTCTTCCAGGCCAGCTCTCTGCTGTGGCCAGGGAGTGCAGTGGAGGATGGCCCAAGTGCTTGGGCCCTGCACCCCATGGGAGACCAGGAGAAGCACCTGGCTCCTGCCATCGGATCAGCGCGGTGCGCCAGCCGCGGCGGCCATTGGAGGTGAACCAATGGCAAAGGAAGACCTTTCTCTCTGTCTCTCACTGTCCACTCTGCTTGTCAAAAAATTAAAAAAAAAAAAAAAAAAAAAACTTTAGAAAACTAAGTGACAGTGCTACGTTTAGCTTGAACAGTTGTATCAAAATTATCACAGATAATTTTTTTGTAGAGTGCTGAAAAGCGTAGATGATGTTTGCATGTTGATAATCTTTACAGACAGTAGCTTCTTTAGGGGTAAACACCTAAATAAAGCTAATGTTGTTAATAACATTTCTGTTCTTAGATGCAGACTAAATTTATTCTGCTCGTCACAGGAAAACCAGTGGCTGTGACAAGTAACAGAGGCACAGGAAGGGCACCTTTACGTCCTGGTGCTAACCCGCAGCTGGAGTGGCAGTATTACCAGAATAAACTCCTGAAAGGCAAAGCAGGTACAAGTGAGCTCTCTTTGAAAAGTCATAGTGCTCCTGTGATGACTTCTAGATTTGCTGTTGATCCTGTTACAGAAAAGAGAGTGGAGTTGCAGTAATTAGCTTTTCTTCCATTTGAGGGTTTTAAGGATGCCAGTGATATTTTAAAGCAAAATCTGAATTTAACAGAAATGACTTGTTGTATAGTTATTCTTCGTTGTATTGGATGGTGATTTTTTTTTTTTTGGAGCAGTGAAGAATGTTTTGAATGGTGTGATTAAGTTTACCTTACAAAAACCAAGGACATCTTTTTGTAGAAGCTTCTATCTGTATATACTTAGGAGTTAATTAACTAATTATTTCGTAATACCATCACAATAAGGACATTAAAATTTATGTTCCTCAAGATTTATGTAATCATTCTCCGTGTCCTTTATAGAACCTATTTCATATGAGAACATTTTCTTTCCTCTCTGGGGTTTTAGATTTTGGTTATTGGGGCCGGCAGGTTAAGCTGCCACTAGTGATGCCGGCACTTCATATGAGTAAGTCCTGGCCACTCCACTTCCTATCCAGCTTCCTGCTAATGTACCTAAGAAAGCAGCAGAAAATGGCCCACATGATTGGGCCATTGCCACCATGTGGGAGACCCAGATGGAGTGCCAGGCTCCTGGCTTCAGCCTGGCCCATTCCTGGCCACTGAGGCTATTTGGGGAGTGAACCAGTTGAATAGAAGATTGATCCCTCTGTTTCCCTCCCTGGAACTCTGCCTTTAAAATAACTAAAAAATGGATATTAATTAAAAAAAATCAAGTTATGCTAATTATAATATTCATTAAGATTTTGCATGTTCTGTTTTTTCCCCTGAGAAATGTTTGCTTAGAAATTAATTGTTTGATCCTGATTGGTTTCCACATAATGACTTGGAAGACAAAAGTTCTTAAAAACTTAGCCTTTCAGAAAAATACTAATCAAAAAAATGTCATAAATTAGGTGTGCAGTGGAATGGAAGGTATGTCACTTGATTTTCTCCCAATTATTTCAGTTCTATAGTTAGTTAAAAACACTGGACTTACTAGAAACTACCTCAGTGAAAGTAAGGCAAAAGGAAAGCCAGTAGGTGTTTATGAGAACTTATTTTGGGATTAGGGTCTTTTTGTCGGTTGTGATTATCTTGTTTACATGGTATAAGTGCAAAAGAAAATAATTTTAGGCACATATTTATACCTTGTGTGTAGATACATTTTACAGATTTTTCTAAAGCTTTTCCTTGTCATTAAAAATCTTTTTTAAAGATTTTGAGATTTTAGAATTCTGTATGTCATGAGCAGTGGAATAGCTGCTTGTTGAGTGAGTTATTTTGGTGTGGGTTGTTTAGGTATTACTAGTGTGGTTTTGTAGTAGGTTGGTTTCTCTTGTATTTTCTATGTGGTCTTATCAGAAAGATCAAATATTAAATTCTAGGAGACAAGAAATAGTAACTTTAGGAAGTACACAATACTTGTCACACAGTGGGCACTTACTGGATGAGAATGTTGGAAAAACTACTTGTGTATGTTGTTCAGCATCTCAGTTACTTGGTTCTCAGTCTGGTGGGTGGAGTCTTGAGTTTGTGACACTCATCCTGTATGTTCAAAAGCGTATATTTATTTAGAGTTTTAACCTTGGCAAGTGTGTTTTTTGAGTAGCAAGAAGTTAGTCTTTGTTTTTTATTCCTTCACAGTTCTCACTATAGGTGGTTTATTAACAGAATACTGGTGTTCATTATTTAGTTTCCCTCATCAGCTTAGCCACCAGGTTTTCATAACATCTTGATGTTTTATAATTTCACAACCCTTTTCATTGTTAAATTTGGTAAATTTAAGGAGAAATACTTAAATTTCACTTGACTGTTGAAAATTGTAAAAAAAAAAAAAAGATTTTCCTTTCACTAGAAAAGTTGAAACGTGAACTTAATACTAGTGCTTTAACTTTGTCATTTACTTTTACTTCCTAACCTTTTTGACCCATTAAGAGCTTACCAAGATATTTCTACATGTAAAAGTAGACTGAACTTTTTCATGATGTTTGTTTGCAACTCACCTTGTGCTCAGAACTTTTTTTTTTTTATGCTTTTGTTGCTCTCTCCTTTCTGTCCTTCCATCTTTCTTTCTCTGGGTCATTATTAGGCCTGGTCCCAAGTATGAAAACATTGAGAATCAGTGTAGGGATTAGAACCTGTAAACTAGATTTAAAAAAAAAAATCACTTCTAATCATGGTTGACCAATATAACTAAGCAAAAGTATTAGGACAGATTATCATCGGGAGTCCTTTTTAGAAACTGGTCTCTTAGTCACCATAGTTCGGCCCGGATAACCAGGAGATCTCATCCTGCCATAACTTCCTTTGGAAGCTGCTTCTTGAGAAGTACCCAGTAGCGACACTTCTCATTTAGGATCTCATTTTGGAACCATTTATGTCCCAGATCTTATGGCTGAAGCTTTTTCCCCCTTTCTGAATTCCCAGGAGACAGTGTTTCCTGTCAGCAGCCTCAGTTTTCATTCTAAAACTGCAGTTTAAAAAATCGTGCTAGTCATAGATTTATTCTCAGCGATTTCTTTTTCACAGACTTGGGTCCTGGCCTCTGATTTCTCCAACCGTTCTTCCACATTCTCCATGTGCCCGTCTAGTTTGTCAAGTTTTGATGAGCAGTTCTCCACTTTGCCCTCCAATGAGGACAGTGTGTCCCTGCATTTCCCTGAATCTCACAGGAAGCAACTCACTCCGCTGGTGGAGGGACCCACGCACTCTGCTGCACTGTGGAACAGGTCAGCCAGCCCAGGGAAGAGAGGAGCACCGTGGTGCTGCTCACAGGCCAGGGCGTTGGGGGCGCATGGACCACAGGCTGTTCTCGCCTGCCTCGAGTGTGAGCCTTCTGTGATTTCCCAGACAGGTTATCCTAGGTTAATTATGCCTTAAAATACAAAAGCCACATAACCCCCCAACTTTCAGGGCATAACTCCCAGTTTACACCTTTGAAAGGCAGTTGGTTGTGGCTGTTCAAGCTTTAGCACTACTTTTTTTTTTTTTTTTTTTTTTTTTTGTCTAGTAGCACCCTCTGTTGAATTCTTAAGAGATTTTCAGCTAAGAATAATTTAAATTTAGTAGTCTCTTATGAGCCTTCAGAAACACTGGGTGATACGCTCTGCATTCTGTGTTCAGTTTATATTAGTACAGTTTGTTACATTTGATCGGAATTCATAGTTTACGTACTCTGTTTTTATTTTTGGTACCAGTAGAAATTGACCTTAGATGCTAATCCTCAAAATTTGGTATGCATTTTTGCTGTGCATTTGTGGGTGCTGGATTCCAGAAATGCTTGTGTGGATAGGGTTGCACAGTTAGATAAGAGATGTTGGTGATGATTGGTCAAACCAGGAAGAGTTATTTTAGTACATGAAGACAGCTCCTTTGTCATGTTTTAAGCTTCTGAGATGAACAGAAGTACAATGCTGTGTTTGTTAGTTGTGTATCATTAGTGTACTCAAGATAGGCTTGTCTAGAATTAGCTGAAGAGATGTTTTGTTTATAATAAAAATATGGCTGAGATTGTGTCTTTAGGATATAATATCCTTTTTTACAGCATATGCTTCTTACAGCCTGATAGTATTATGCCCAGAAATCTATGACTGACTGTGTTTTAATCTATTTCTCAATTCCTGGTGAAGCTGAAGGTGGAAAAGAAGTATAGTGGCATGTAACCAGTAGGCTTTCTGCGGCTTTTATTTGGTAATGCAGAGTTGTACCTTTGTTTTAGGTATGAAGAGATATTGGTGAGCTGTGCTGTGTAGGCTAGAGTTGTGTTCATTGAAGCAGTTGATATTCTGATCATCTTGAGCGTCTGAACATGCGCTATTACATCAAAAGTAGAATTACTTGAAAGGAGTGGTCATATCGTGAAGCTCTTTTTACCTAATGTCTGTTCAAAAGGAAAAGCTTAAATTTAGGATGAAACCTCTTCATGTTATGTGACCTACTAAATTATTGTTTGATCAGACAGCTGATGGGAATGTCATGTGTTGAACATGGTAATTAGCTTTGATTGTTCTTTTAGGAAACACCAAAGGTTATTCTGAGAAATTCGTTTTTGCCATGAGTTCGTTCTCACTACAGAGAACTGTACAGTCCTTTCAGGGCTATTGGAGGGAGTTCATCTCCCGGATCAGTTTGCATCCTTGTCTGCCTCAAGGGACAGAATATTTTATCTTTATTTTTCATGTATTTTTAAAAATCTGTTATTAAAATAGGGCACTTTGAATTTATTGTAATAAGTTGATTGGCTGCTGATGAAAGGTATAATGGAAGTAAGCCATTTTTAGTTAACAGCTTTCCTTTGTAAATAAGGATATATGATACCAATGGAGATAACTATTATCTGGATTTACTGAACAGTTATAAATGAAAATAATGGAAAATATGTTTTAAGTAAGAAAAAATCAGTTTTTATCATATAATCATTAAATTGTACTATTTTAAAAGCAGATTTACCAGATTCATCAATGTGGGAGACTCAAGATTCTGTACAAACCAATGGAATTGATTCTGTTTTGTCAAAGGCTGAAATTGCATCTTGTAGTTACGAAGCCAGGTATGTAGAAGTCAAGTGTGCTCCAATTCCTAGTGAAAAGTTGATTTAATTAATTTTCTTTGCATCTTTTGAAGTGGATCCAGACATGCTGCTCAGGCCTCTGATTTAAGTGTTTTGCAGTCTTGCTATGTACAGAAATGTTTTTGTCTTAGTCCTCAGCTGCCTTCTTCCCTGACCTTACCCACCACACATCTAGATCAGTAACTTCATAATTTCCAGATGAACCAGTCTGTCTTAAGGTGAAAACCAAAAAGAGGGAGCACTGTCGTTTTTATTGTCTTTTGAAACATAAAATTAAAGAGAATTTTTTTGAATGAGAAAGAGCTTTAGTATGTAGCTACTCTAATCTTTTTACAGATTGGAAGAACTTGTAATAACACTCTGTTGTTTTCAATTATGTTAAAACTTGATTACTTTTTAGGACGGCGCTGCGGCTCACTAGGCTAATCCTCCACCTTGCGGCGCCGGCACACCGGGTTCTAGTCCCGGTCGGGGCGCCGGATTCTGTCCCGGTTGCCCCTCTTCCAGGCCAGCTCTCTGCTGTGGCCAGGGAGTGCAGTGGAGGATGGCCCAAGTGCTTGGGCCCTGCACCCCATGGGAGACCAGGAGAAGCACCTGGCTCCTGCCATCGGATCAGCGCAGTGCGCCGGCCGCAGTGCGCCAGCCGCGGCGGCCATTGGAGGGTGAACCAACGGCAAAGGAAGACCTTCCTCTCTCTCTCTCTCACTGTCCACTCTGCCTGTCAAAAAAATAAATAAATAAAAAAATAAATAAAAAAAATAAAAACTTGATTACTTTTTAAATTATAAGTAAAAATTTCATAATGGTTTACCTGATACTCTTTTCATTAAAAATTGGTAATAGGTTTGTTAATAAACAATGAAATAACCAATTATAACCAATAATAGCTATAAAAATAGAAGGAGCAATAATTAACTAATTTAAACTAGAAATCTTTTTTCTTTCTTGGTAACTGAACACATTTTTAGGTTTCTAACAGCAGGCACACATTGTTGGCGAGTGTTAAAGGCTTCAGTGTGTGATTGAAGGGTGACCTCTGCATCTGGCAGTCACAGTTGTGCTCAGCATCCAGAGGGTGCGGCTGTCAGTCAGTCTTTAGGTTTTGTATCTGCACCCTTACCGTGCCAACTCTCTAGGGTGCCCTGCCACACCCAGCACTCCCAAGATGAATGATGGTTGGAAAGTGCCAGAGCTGCCCCAAGGGGAGACGTGTTAGCAGCTCCTGAAGGCTTGATTCTAGGAACTTCAGTTTTGTCCAGGCTCTTGGTTTCTATTGGAGTCTGGATGGTGTGTTTGTATTGACTCACAGGTGGAGACTGTCAAGCTGAATGCCTAACAGAGTAATTGGGGTGACAGTGTACGAGCTAGACATTATGTAGCAATGACAACTGTCTCTTCTACGGAAATGCACAAAGTGATGAAAATGAATTTAGGTTCGGAACAAACCCCAAAACTATGCGATTTTTATCCTGTAATTATAAATTTTCCATTTTGTAGTATATACATTTTTGTGCCTATCCAACAGGTATTTTTTTCCTTAATGAGAGGTTTTTTAAAGAATTTAAAGTACAAATGAAAAATGGTATTAGAGAAGTGTTTCTGAGATTGGCATGGGGACCAGATTGTAGGGATGGCCATTCGACTTTTATGCATTAGTGAGTTTTCAATAGATATAAACTGATAATAGTGTCTTCAAAGAATGAAGCACAAATATGAGAACAGGAGTCCCACTAAGGTAGAATGTGTATAGCAGTTCACAGCGTGTGTTACCATTAGTTTTACTTACTGGAAAGAACAAGCATTGTACATGTGGATGAATAGATAATGATATAGATAGCCTAATCATGGGTTTTAGGTCAAATAAATTCTTTTTTAAAAGTCAGAGTTGGAGACAGAGAATCTTCCATCTGCTGGTTCACGCCTCAGATGGCTGTGACATCCAAGCATGAGCTAGCCAAAGCCAGGAGCTTCTTCTTGGTCTTACGTTTGGGTGAAGGGGCCATCATTTCTCTGCTGCTTTTCCCAGGCCATTACCAGAGGGAGCTGGATTGGAAGTGGAGCAGCCTGGACTTGAACTGATACCTATATGGGATGCCAGTGTTACAGGCTGCAGCTTAACCTGCTGTGCCACAATGCCAGCCCCTCAAATACCTTCTTTTATTTATTTAAAGATTCATTTATTTATTTGAAAGTCAGAGGTACAGAGAGGAGAGGCAGAGGGAGAGGTCTTCCATCCTCTGGTTCACTCCCCATTTGGCCACAACGGCTGGAGCTGCGCCCATCTGAAGCCAGGAGCTTCTTCTGGGTCTACCACGTGGGTGCAAGGACCCAAGGATTTGAGCCATCTTCTACTGCTTTCCCAGCCCATAGCAGAGAGCTGGATTGGAAATGGAGCAGCCGGGACTCGAACCAGCGTCCATATGGGATGCCAACACTGCAGGTGGCAGCTTTTACCCATTATACCACAGTGCCGGCCCCCTCAAATAACTTTTAAACCTCTATTTTCATGTGCTTTTATAAGAATCCTTCACCATTCTTACTTATTTATAATAGAGATCTCTTAATATGTTGAATGGACAGTGACTGATTTTTTTTTTTATAAAGATTTATTTATTTATTTGAAAGACAGAGTTACAGAGAAGCAGAGTTGGAGATAGAAAGAGGACTTCCATCCACTGGTTCACTCCCCAAATGGCTGCAATGGTTAGAGCTGGGCCAATCCAAAGCCAGGAGCCAGGAGATTCTTCTCGGTCTCCCACGCAGGTGCTAGGGGCCAAGGACTTGAACCATCTTCCACTGCTTTCCCAGGCCACAGCAGAGAGCTGGATGGGAAGTGCAGCACCTGGGACTCAAACCGGCGCCCATATTGGATGCTGGCATTGAAGATGGTAGCCACTACCGCTGCACTACAGCACCCCTATATTTTTATAAATAATGTGTCTTTAAAACAATCTATAGATGAAAATTTTGAAAGTGAAAGTATTGTAAATATAAGAACATCATATAGCAGTTATGTATCACATTCCATTCAAACAGGCAAAGGAAGTTTGGCCTCTGGGCTGTATAAGGTCTGGGACATTATCTGTACTGGCCCTGCCAAAGCAACCGCAGGCAGGACTTAAAACGTCAATAAATCTGTAGCAGGTTCATTTTTAAATTGATGATTTTGTATGGCCCGTGACTGGTGTCATAAACATCCAAATGGCCCTTGGCAAAAAAAAAATTTCCCATCCCTGCTTAGCTTAAATTTGTTAAATGTGGATTTCATGTGCTGAACCTATATATCTGGCACTATTATTACCTGAAGTTTACTCTTTTTGATACTTGACCTTTTTTCTGCTTTAATAATTTTTACTACTCTTCTATTTATATGTTTGTTTATATACACCTAAGCTATATATAAGTATATACTAATTATATATAATTAAAAATTGCATTAACAAGGCCTGTTGAGTATAATCCATCCTTTGGTAGGTGAATACAGGGTCGTACAGTGAACATGATACGATCTCTTTTATTTACCATCTTTACTCAACACCTCACAAAATACCTGAGTGAAAGAATTCATTCTGTTTGTCAGTGGCCACTTCTTTCATTGTAATTTTTCCTTCCTGTTGGATATTTCTCATCTATTAGGGACTTAACAGTGAGCTGACTTATTATTGTTCTTGAGTACACAAAAAAATACCTGTGATTTTGTGTGTGCTTCTTAGTAACTTGGAGGACTGTTTCCTTCTTGGCTTTCAGTAGTGGTCTGAATACCGGGAGGCTGCCACAAGCCTCTGAGTAATTGAAGACTGAGTGTGTGGACCTTTGTTAACAGAAGCTTACTGAATAAATGTGTAGGATAACTGTTTTCATATTACATAATCTGGTGAAACAGTGCTTTATTATTTGCTTATGGTTTTACTATGGTATGGTTTTTTTTATTCTTCACAGTGATTAAATGGAATTTTACTAATTATGTATAATTCCATAACTATAGTTTGTGCTGAATGCTCCAAAATACCAAAGGTAATGTGGGGCATTGAGACACACAGTAGATTTAAAATTTACCATTTTCAATTAGGTCCCTCAAAGTTCTGGAACCCTGGCTCCTGCCCAGAGTGATGTCCTACCATATACAATGCTGTTGGCATCTCAACCACTGTGGAGCCACTTCAGGAGCATGGAATTGGTCAATTGGGAATTGGGTGGTAATAGGATGAGTACATTTTGTGTGTTTGTCACATAGCGCTGTTTTGTGTAGTTCTTGCGTTTCTATTCTTTGTCTTTGGGGGATGAACCCTGGCCAAACTGTGCCTTGTATTAAGGGAAGAAAACCTGTTTTTGAAGCACGTTCCTGCTCTGTGGTGGTTGTGATATCACCAGCATATGGCATGCTGGCATCTCTGCAAAGGGGCCAGAGGTCTGAGTCTTAGGAGGAAGTCATCAGACAGAGAAGAGATGTCATTTATACCAGTCACATAGTTGCGTGATTATTTTGTTTGTTTGTTTGGGGGGAAACAAACCTGTAAGTTTTCTTAAGCCTATTTATATATTTAATCCCTAATGAGAAAGGGGTTAAATGGAGATTATATATTAGTGGCATGGGGAAATATCCATATATTTGATAGTTCATTTTGGAAACTTCCTAATATAATCTCTATTATTTTTTGTTCTCTCTCTGTAGACAAGTTGGCATTAAAAATGGAATGTTCTTTGGGTATGCTAAACAGCTATGCCCTAATCTTCAGGCTGTGCCATATGATTTTGATGCATATAAGGAGGTTGCCAGAACAATGTATGAAACCTTGGCAAGGTACAGTGGATAATAGTCATTTCATGTCTGTTGTTATTCTTCTCTCAGCTAATGTTAAAGGTAATCCAGTTTTCTTCAGCACCGTCAGGGTCACTTTTGCCAGACATCCCCAGAATCCCTTTCCTCAGCATCAGCATCCCAGTTGGATGGCCTTCTTCTTTTTTTTTTTTTTTTTTTTTTTTTTGACAGGCAGAATTAGAGAGAGACAGAGAGAAAGGTCTTCCTTTTTCCTTTGGTTCACCCCGCCAAGTGGCCGCTGCGGCCAGTGCACCACGCTGATCCGATGGCAGGAGCCAGGTACTTATCCTGGTCTCCCATGGGGTGCAGGGCCCAAGTACTTGGGCCATCCTCCACTGCACTCCCGGGCCACAGCAGAGAGCTGGACTGGAAGAGGGGCAACCGGGACAGAATCCGGCGCCCCAACCGGGACTAGAACCCGGAGTGCAGGCACCGCAGGCGGAGGAGTAGCCTAGTGAGCTGCAGCACCGGCCGGCCTTCTTTTCTTTGACCAGTTTCAGTAAGGTGACAGCTCATTCTGGAGGAAGCCTTTTTGCATTACTAAATTACTCCAGTACTTCCTGATGCCTGTGTAAAATTTGATTTCTGTTCCTCTGTAACATACAGTCAGTGGTTCCAGTTTTCCTCCCATGGGACCAGATGGATGAATGAATGGAACTTATTTAGCCTGTTTATCTCTTTCATTGTATTTTATTTGTAGTTTTCTTTAAAATTAGGATGGATAGCTTGATTACAACCTATATTAAACAGTTTATCTTCTTAAATTTTTAGACACACTTAGCAACAGTTAGTTTTTAGAAAAATTAGTCTTTTGTGGCTCATTTTTTAAATGTTTTGTAGAGGCATGTTTTAATATTGACTTGAAACAAAATTTAAAAAAAATCTAACATACTGTGTGTACTTTAAAGCAGGGGGCCAGCACAGTTTTGTCTGCTGTAACTCCTCAGCTTCCCTAGTAAGCCAGAATGTGCATGGATAGAGCTACTACTGAGTGGATGAGGCCCTGTGCCAGTAAAGCTTTATTTACCAAAACAGGCATCTGGAGGTTAGGCCGAGGGTTGTTGGCCCCAGGACTATAGTAATGTTCCAACAGATGTTTATTTCTTGTCTCTGTCTCCACTTCTACCTCTTCTTTCTTACGCTGCATTTTGAACATGAGTATTGAATATGCATATATCACTGCTCCTTGCTCTTTCACAGAGAGGAGTGAAATCCAGTCTCTGCCCTTGTGGGATCTTCAGTAAGGGAGAAAAAGTATAAAAGGATGGATGAAGTTACCTGGCATCAGTTTGTAGGACTGAGTGTGGTCACAGCTATGTGTAAGACCAGAAAATACGGCATTGTGCTGCCAAGTAGAGAGTGCATTAAATCCCACACCAGAGCTGAGACCAGTGGTAGTTTCCCAGTGGGGGCCATGAATGGGTGACTGCGGTGAGGGAGTGGGACTGCTGTGTCCCGGGTGTCAAGACCCTAAGGCAGACTGCCAACCTGGACCTTGGATCAGGATATGAGGGAGGATGTGACACGTGCAAGTCCTGGTGGGATTTTAGTCTGAGGAGGCATTGTCAATGGCATGTTTCTATTCTTAGGGAAAAAATACAGTGTTATTCTCCTACCACCCTTTGGAAGTCCTGTCTCAACTTCCTAGTCTGCCTGCCTCAGAGCAGCTTTCACTCTGAAGCAGAAATCCTCATATCAAGTATACCAGTTCGGTTCTTAAAAAGTATGCTTTTTTATTGTAGCCTAAACAAAACATTCTCGTTTCTTGAACAAACAGGGCTATTATTCTGATTTGTAACCTACTGTAAGGTGTCAGTGAGGTAGGGCCTGATTTTCCTAGTGTATTCATTACCAAAGGTATTATTGAAGACACAGTTTTGATCCAAGGCTTCTTTGGTTGCCTCCCGTTTCTGATACAATTTTGTTTTGTGATTTCATAGTGCTTATTATAAATTAGCATTGGAAAGTCATGGCAGCTCTTAACTTCCCTTCTGTAGTAGAGTTAAGAAGTCCTTCATGATGGGCAGGTCATATAAAATGATTTTTAAAAAAAAAGGATTTCCACTGGATGTAGTTAGGGTTCTCTTAGGTGTTGGGATGATTGGCCACCTGATCTTACAGGTCCTGGGACCTGCTGTTGAGAATGATATTTAGTTACATTTTTGTTTTACCAGAGCAGCAATTAGTTATTTGATTTGTATAGTTTTTCTGGTCCATAAGGATTTTTTTAACCATGCTTGAAAATTTTTTAGATTAAATGTTTTAACAGCTCTTACTATCTACTACTTACTACCCCAGGGTTTACAAAGTATTCTCTGTGCAGGGAAACTGGAATGTTGATTTCTGCTGTATTTTTGATAGTTACTGTGGAAAAAGAGAACTCACTAACTTTGAAGTTGGAAGTTGGGTGACTAAATGGTACTTCAAGCAGTTCATTTAAAATGCTGGGTGGGTTTTTTTTGTTTTATTGTTTTGTTTTGTTTTTTAGTGATGTAAGTTTTGTGAGGAAATGTTGAAGATGACTTTATTTTGCAGCATTGTGTCTAGCACGTGGCTTCCTGGCTGTGGTTCATTGCCTTTGCTTTGTGTTGATAGTTACACTCATAATATCGAAGCTGTCAGCTGTGATGAAGCACTGGTCGACATCACTGAGATCCTTGCAGAGACCAAACTCACTCCTGAGGAATTTGCCGATGCTGTCCGTATGGAAATCAAAGACCAAACTAAATGTGCTGCCTCTGTTGGAATTGGTTAGTATCTAACTTTTTCTGGATTATTATTTTTATTCAGTAGAACTGCTTTAGGATCCTTGGATGCCATTGCTCTGAGCAATGTTTGTTTTCATGAGCTTCCTGATACCAGTGCCTTTTTCCTCAAGGTGTCTCAGTGTTGCTTACTCTTAGGAGATACATGAGATGACGCATATTGGAAATCTAAGTAAATGATTGATAGCTTTGTAGTAAACCTGTTTAAATATTTTACTTGTTCTTTCAAAAATGGAACAATTTGAATTCTATTTTGTAGGTTTTTTTTTCTTCAAAAATGAATTGAAACTAAAGAGGGGGTGTGGAGTGCTGTGTGGGATTGAGTTGAGTGCCAATACCAGTCAGTCTCCCTGTTACGCTGTTACCGTCTGTACTACAGCTTCCTGGAGAGTACAGCCGTGCCTGTCTGCTCTGTCAGTGCTGGAAGTCTGGCTAACTCGTACTCTCAGTCTGTGCAGCTCACCCATTGCGGCCGCAGCCTGGGCTTTGGGTCCACTTACCTGTCTGTTGTTGACTCTTCCTTTGGTGCCCTTGGAGCTCGCTGTCAGACCTAAGCTTCTTTGTGTGTCCTCTTCCTTTCTGAACCTCTGTAGCACCTCTGCCGAGATAGCCCTGTTCTTGCCATTTTCTTGAGTGCAGCCATTTTGCCCCTGCCATATTCTGTATTCACAGACTGGGGAAGTAGAGATAATGTTTTCTTAATTGTTACTACTTTTAATTTCTTTATTTGAAAGGTAGAGTTACAGAGAGAGAGAGAGACAGAAAGAGATGTCTTCCATCTACTGGTGTCTTCCATCCATTGGTTCACTCCTCAAGTGGCCAGAATGGCCGGGGCTGGGCCAGGTCAAAGCCAGGAACCAGGAGCATATTCGAGTCTCCCATGTGGGTGCAGGGGCCCAGTACATGGGCCAACCTCTCCTGCTTTCCCAGTCACATTAGTGGGGAGTTGGATTGGAAGTGGAGCAGCCGGGACTCAAACTGGCACCTAATTATTTTCCCATCCTTATTCAGACACCCTTCTTTCTCTGAGGCTCCTTGTCTCCTTTGTACCCACTAAGGGATGACACAAAGGCTAATGCCATTGTAAGAAAGATTTGTTAGATTGCCTTTTACATTTACATTTGTTATATTTCCCAAGAGGAGGGCCACACCATGCAGAGAAAGCAGCAGGATGCCTAGGAGGCAGTAGCAAGACTGGTGGCAGCTGACCCAGAGCCATTATTGGGGTCCTGGGTAAAGCAAGGCAGGACAGAGGAATCAGTTTAGGGTTGGCTAGTCTGAGTAATTTTGGTGGGCTTTAGCCCTATGGGGGTGGTCTCTAGTGGCCTGGTAGATAGCTGTGAGCTGCCTAGGGTGGGAAATGTATTGAGCTTGGTTTGAGAATGTGTTAAGGAGGTGATTAGGGGCGACTTACTGGGTGGCGTATGAGAAATACGTTCAGGAATTATCCAGCCCTGCGAGGGTTGGCGTGCGAAGGGCAGTGTCTCCCCAACCAGCGAGATCCAAGATGTCAGAATATCTTAAGACAGACAAATAATTTGACATGATTAATACTCCATGAGCAATCCTGTGGTGACGCACTAGCCCGCCTCTGACTCCGCCTGCTGGCCCAAAGAGCCTTCTCCTTTCAGACTCAGCTTCTGTGTCCCAGTGTGAGGTTGCTTTTAATAGCACTTACTTTTAATTGACAAGTGGTTGTGTTCTTTCAGGTTCCAGCATGTAATTCAAACTTGATGTTTCCACTTTCCTCAGAACTCACCACTATTTTGATGTGACTTTCCAGAGCCTTTTTTCTTTGCAAGAATCTTTATCACCCTAGGAAAAATACAGTTTTCAATTAAGTCCTCCATAAAAGCAAGAGGTGTCCTTGCTGTCAGTGTCCCTTGATGTCTGGAGGAGTTAGATACTCAGGGAGGGTAGCAGCCCTGCATTGCACATCGTGACCTTCTCTGTGCAGCTTTCCTGGCCCACGACTGTCCCTGCTGTGGACTCTCCTGGCCTCACCTCCCACCACTTGTGTGTCAGTGCTCAGGGCGTGCTTGCTTAAGCCCAGTGGCATTCTTGTGCCCGCATTTCCCTCCCCAGTATGTGTCCTGTAAACCCTGCTCTTAAATCAGGACTGCTTTCTCTCAAACCTTTATGTCCAGCAGCCTGCAGTCGTAATCTGGAATACTTAACCAAAGTCTGCCAGTTTTATGCACTGTTGCAAACGATCAAAATTATATCTTATTTTCATAAATGATTGATGTCTTTATTAGGAAATTTTTAAAATTCTAAAGATTTCTTGATTTTCCTTCTAATATTGTAGGTTCTAACATTCTCCTTGCTAGAATGGCAACTAGAAAAGCAAAACCAGATGGACAGTACCACTTGAAACCAGAAGAAGTAGATGATTTTATCAGAGGTCAGCTAGTTATTAATCTACCAGGTAAGCAGAAATCTTTTTAATTTTTTGTCTACTGAAGGCACTCATAAATTCTTTGCTTAGTTCTATATATTTCCCAAACATGAGTATTAAATATTTTTTTGAGTCTGCTTGAGTGTAATGGAAAACAAAATTTTTAATTCTTATTGAAAATCTTCTCAATTGCTTTCTCTAGGCCATAGTATTACGTCTTAGTTTGGTGATGGGTGTTTTTCAAGTAGCAAGATTGAGGATTCTAAGAAATCATTTTAAAGGGAATATGCTGCAATTGCTGTTGTGTTTTAAAGAAATACTAATTGAAATAGGCAAAGTTTGGAGATCTTTGTTTATGAAATCATGCTGCAAGACTACGGACAGTTTACAAATAATTGTAAAAGAAAATGTATGCACTATATTAGAAATAAAACCTAAATATGAGGTGTTGTGTTTTTGTAAACTTGAGACACTGAAGAAAAACTTCCTATATATACCTTCCTTGCTAGGGGAAGGGTGTTATGTGTTATTAAGCCACCTGTGTCAACTTCATAAAGCTCTTGGGTATTTGTGTTGTAAAGTTGTTTTTTTTGTTTGTTTGTTTGTTTGTTTTTTAAGATTTATTTTTATTGGAGAGGCAGAGTACAGAGAGAGAGAAAGAGTGAGAGCAGGCTTCCATCTGCTGGTTCACTTCTCAAATGTCCATAATGGCTAGAATTCAGCTTATCTGAAGCCAGGAGCTAGGTGCGTCTTCCCAGTCTCCTATGTAGGTGCAGGGCTCCAAGTACTTGGGCCATCTGTTTTGAAGATTTTTAAACTCATCCATTTGTTAAAAGTGGATTTAATGGTATTTTTAAATGCGTAATTTTAAACCCAATGAAATATATGGAATTGAATTAGAAATTTCCATTATAGGTCATAAAATAAGAAATCATTCAGATGCCATTTTGTGGTGGAAGAATATTCCCAACCCCTTAGTAGATGTGTGACCTAAAACAATGTATTATGGCAAAAAATAATGTTTTTGATGTCATCTTGAGGTTCAGTTTGAAGAATAAATAGCATTATGTATTCAAAGTAGCAAATTACCTTATTAGATTTAATTACTTTTTTAATGCAGTTTTCTTCAAGAAGGAACCAGTGTATGTAAAGTTTATTATGCTAGCCAACTCTGTTATTTCCTAAGAAGCGCCTTAACAAAGGGCCCCAAACTCAGAGGCTTACACAGGAATTTATTGTTACAAATATTATCATGGTTCTGGAGGCTGGGAATGAAGATGTCAGTGGGGTTGTTCTTCTGAGGCCTGTCTCCTTGGCTTGTAGATGGCCTTGCTCCATCCTCACATGAGCTTTCCTGTGTGCATGCTTGTGTGTTTGTGTCTCAGGTTTCTTTTTTTCTATTTTTAAAAATGTTTATTGATTTTCATCAACTTGAAAGGCAGAGCAAGATAGAAAGAGAGGTCTTCTGTGTGCTGGTTCACTCCCCAAATGCCTGAAACAGCCAGGGCTAGGCCAGGCTGAAACCAGGAACTTGGAAATTCCATCTTGGTCTTTGATGTGGGTGGCAATAGGCCTAAGGACTTGAGCCATCATGTACAATAGGGGTGAGGAATGTCTGGCCTACTGGCCATATAAACCCAGCAGAAGGCCTGGTGCTGTGTGTAGTAGGCTAAGTCTTCCTGGGATGCTGGCATCCCATATGGGCACCAGGTCTAGTCCCAGCTGTTCCACTTCCGATTTCAGCTCTCAACTATGGCCTGGGAAAGCACTGGAAGATGGCCCAAATGCTTGGGCACCTGCACCCATGTGAGAGACCCAGAAGAAGCTCCTGGCTCCTGGCTTTGGATCGGCCCAGCTTTGGCTGTTGTAGCCATCTGGGGAGTGAAGCAGCTGATGGAAGACCTATCTCTCCCTGTTTGTCTGTAACCCTGCCTCTCAAATAAATAACATCTTTAAAAAAACAAAAAAGAAAGAAAGAAATCATTTGATCTGACCCTGCCAAGGCAACTACAAGCCAAACTTGAAATTCAGTAAATCTATAGCAGGCTAATCTTTAAGTTGATAATTTTGTAGGGTCCACAAATGATGCTACAAATATCCAAATGGCTCTTGGCAGAAAGAAGATTCCTTACCCCAGTTCTGTTCACTCCCAGAACGCATCAATAGGAAGCTGGATCCAAAATGGAGTAGCTGGGACTTGAACTTGCATTCTGATGCGGGTTGTGGGCATCCAGTGCCATGATGGAGCCGGCCTCCCCCATTCCCTCATCCCCGACTCTCAATTTCTTACAAAGAAACCAGTCAGATTGAATAGGAGCCTGCCCACATGACCTCATTTTAGCTTAGTTACCTCTTTAAACGACTGTGTCCATAGATAATCACAGTGAAACATGCTGGTAGTTAAATGTTAGACATGTAAGTTTGGGGAATACATAATCAGTTCAAAACACCATCGTTGAACCAATTTTGTAGATTTTTTTCTTTTCTTTTTTTTTTTTTAAACAGTTTTTAACTTATTGACCTAGTAATCTTACTACTCCCCTTCATCTGCTTCCTGGCCAGATGAGGAGGAAAAACATTTACAATACGAAGTTTGTTCTAGAGGACACCACGGAAGAATGCTTATGTTAAACTAGCAGATACATCCCCTAACTTGATCTTACCTAACTAAAGCTAGGACCGTCCCCAGCCAATGTCTCTGTACCAAGAATGTCTCCACACGTTCTCTGGGCCTTTGCCAGGCCTTTGCCCTGTGTGGGAGCCCCCAGTTAAGAGCCCTGTGTACCTCGTTCAGCCTGTGCTTGATTTACGGCTTCGGTCTGTGATTTCTATCTCTTCTGAAACACTTCACACACAGATGTGGACACAACGACCAGTACTAGCATCGGAGTGTAGCCAGGTGAAGCTAGTAACATCAGAATTAACATGTCAGTTCCTGAGCTGCACTGACCAGATTTCAAATGCACTGTAGCCACATGCAGGGCACACACAGAACATCTCCTTTTTTTTTTTTTTTTTTTTTTTTTTGGACAGGTAGAGTTAGAGACAGAGAGAAAGGTCTTCCTTCCGTTGGTCCACTCCCCAAATGGCTGCTACGGCCGGTGCTGTGCCAATCCAAAGCCAGGAGCCAGGTGCTTCTTCCTGGTCTCCCATGCGGGTGCAGGGCCCAAGCACTTGGGCCATCCTCCACTGGCCTCCCGGGCCACAGCAGAGAGCTGGCCTGGAAGAGGAGCACCCAGGACTGGAACCCGGCGTCCATATGGATTGCCAGTGCCACAGTCGGAGGATTAACCAAGTGAGCCACAGCGCCGGCCCACATCTCCATTTTTGTGTTTTCTTGCTTGGTAGGGACGTAGATGGGCAAAATGTTATTCTTTGAAACTTTCTTGTGTCTGTATTGCACAGCCAGGTCTGGATGCCAAGGTGGGGCCATTATTGGCCATTTTAAGTACCAAGTCTTCATTCCAGTTGCCAGCAAGCAGCTCCCGTAGCTCTGATTTTCTTCTCTACTTCTTGGAGACGTGGTTCTAAGTGAGCATATTTTCCTTTCTAGGTGGCTACATTCAGTTTGGGCCCTGTGCTTCCTTTACTTTCTCTTTAAATACGTCATCCTTTTCTTACACTTACATTAGGCATCCAGTTAAAACTAGCAGCCCTCTCCAGGATTTTGGTGCTGCTCCAGGATTGGTTTATTTTTTCACCCTTCAAGTAATAGGGGTAGAGGTCAGCCACACCCCCCACCTCTCTCAATCATCTCCCCCTGAGGCCGTTGTCTTTCATGGAGTAGAGCTTTTCTCCTTCACTAAAGGGACAGTGCAGTTGAATTGGATTGTATTTTGTTTTAAGATTTATTTGAGAGGCAGAGAGAGAGAGGTCTTCCATCTGCTGGTTCACTCCCCAGATGGCCACAGTGGCTGGAGCTGTGCCGATCCAAAGCCAGGAGCCAGGATCTTCCTCCGGGTCTCGCATGTGGGTGAAGGGGCCCAAGGACTTGGGCCATCTTCTACTGCTTTCCCAGGCCATAGCAGAGAGCTGGATCAGAAGTGGAGCAGCTGGGACTCAAACCAGCACCCATATGGGATGCTGGCACTTCAGGCGGTGGCTTTACGTGCTATGCTACAGCGCTGGCCCCTGGGTTGTGTTTAATTTGATAATGTTTAATAGAACATCCTTTCTTTTGTACCTGTTAGTAAGTAAGAGTTTTCTTCCTGTGTTTACTCCTAGCTTTAAAAGTACAGCTACAGGAAGACACTATAAAACCTATGGATTCCTACACACACACACACACACACACACACATTAATCTAATATCATTACTGCCTCTTGCTAGTATTGCAAGTCCACAAGAACAGATTGGCACCCATATCTATGCAGAACAGATTATGATTAGGTTGTGGGAGTGGGGAGTGAAGCAACATGGGAAAGGGAAAAAAATATCTTTCCTGAACACAAATAGCTGCCTACCTTTTTTGTAGTACATGATTCTTCCATTCTGTTGGATTTCTCCTCCCCACATTGAGAAATATTCATCATACACCTCACTTAGAATCTTAACTTTTTGTGGTTGGTCTCTAGGATTTTCCTAATTGTCAATTCATAGTCTCTGGTATTCTTTTGATCTGACTTACACATTAAATTGGCACAATTAGGAGCCAGCCCCCTTAACGTCTTTCATCCAGCTTTCTTGGTTTAAGCTAGTCTGGCCCACTGCTATGGACATAGGTCTTTGTAAAATGCACAATCTAACGTTGTGGTGTTCATCACTGCTTCTGGTGGTTCTCTGGGCGGAACCTGCTACTAAAGGCAGCCCTGGACAGGAGCTAGAATTAACAGTGACGAGCAGAAGAGGGCAGACTTCACTCTAAACTCTTGATAGTACAGAACACCAGAAATGCACATGATCTTTTCATCTTCAGTGGGAAATAATTTATTTGATGCTGTGGAACCATTTTTGTTAAGAATTACAGTTTACCTAGATTTCTCTAAAACACTTTGCTAGATATGTCCATCTTTGTAAAGCCTGTAGGGCAGACTGATGAAAACCAAGATCCCAACCTAGAGAAGCAGAGCTCATGAGCATCCTTCAGAGGGGACAGAAATCTGCAGGGTAGCACATAGCACCTGCTGCCGGGCTAGCTGTTGGGGTGCGTAATACCTCTTATGGGAGTTTTGTTCTTTTAAGACTTACTATTTGAAAGGCAGAGTTACAGAGAGAGAAAGATCTTCCATCCCTTGGTTCACTCCCGAATGGCCACAATAGCCAGGGCTGAGACATGCCAAAGCCAGGAGGCTGGGACTCTGTCCAGGTCTCCTACAGGAGTCCAGGGGCCCAACTAATTGGGCCATCTTGCACTGCTTTCCCAGGGGCATTAGCAGGGAGCTGCATTGGAAGTGAAACAGGAGGGATTTGAACCAGCACTCATATGGGATGTAGTCACCACAGGCAGCGGCTTAACCTGCTGAACCACAGTGCTGGCCCCCATATCCCATTCTTTAGATAACTTTAGTTACACATACAAGGACACTTCCAGAAGTTCATGAAATATTGAATTAAAAGATAACATTAATTTTGGTGAAAAACATTTTGGAAATACATTCATATTTTTTCCATAATATATATTGTCCATGAATTTAAAAAAAAGTCACTTGAAAGGCAGTGAGATCTTCCATCTGCTGGTTCATTCCCTAAATGGTCAGGGCTAGTCTAGGCTACACACAGGAGCCTGAAACTCCAGCTGAGTCTCCCATGTGGGTGGCCAGGGACCAAACACTGGAGCCATTGTCTGCTTTCATTAGCTCATTGGCAGGGAGCAGGATCAGAAGCAGAGTTGATGGGAATCAAAGCAGCGCTCCTATAAGGGATGCCAGTGTTACAGCAGGCAGCTTAACCTGCTGCACTACCTATCTGGCCACTTCCATGAGTTGTTTGAAGATTCCTTGTATGCATGGATTTGTGGCAAAGCCATCTCCTGTGACACAGGCATTCCATATGGGTACTGGTTCGTACCCTGGCTGCTCCATTCCAGCTCCCTGCTGATGGCCTGGGAAATGCAGCGGAAGATGACCCAACTTCTTGGATCTCTGAGAGACTTGGAAGAAGCTCCTGGCTCCTGGCTTTGGCCTGCCCTGCCCCAGGCTGTTAGGGCCATCTGGGGAGTGAATCACTGGATGGAAGATCTCTCTGTGTTTCTCCCTGTCTCTGCAACTCTGACTTTCAAATAAATGAATAAATCTTTAAACATTTTTTTGCACCAAAATAAATACATCTCTTAATTTGATTTTCTGTGACCACCTTGAAATACCCTCACATTTAAGTCTGGATTCTGTCTTTGTAGAGTCCAAATTGACAGGTGGATTCTAGAAATACTACTACTGTGATGACTATACTAAAAGAACTTTATTCAGTCTTATAAGATGCTTAAGTTTTGTCACTTAACTAAGCTTTTTAAAGATTATTTTAAACTAGTTGTGCATGAATGATAGTTATTTCAGATTACTAAAATTACTTTTAGTAAGTGTGTCCTGCAAAACTAGAACTCTCTGTTCCCTTTCCTAGGCGTTGGACGTACAATGGAATCTAAGTTGGCATCTTTGGGAATTAAAACTTGTGGAGACTTGCAGTATATGACCATGGCAAAACTCCAAAAAGAATTTGGTCCCAAAACAGGTCAGATGCTCTATAGGTTCTGCCGTGGTTTGGATGACAGACCAGTTCGAACTGAAAAGGAAAGAAAGTCTGTTTCAGCTGAGATCAACTATGGAATAAGGTTTACACAGGTACTGATCACATGACAGATTTTTCTTTTGTTTTTTAAGACTTATTTTTATTTATTTGAAAGCCAGAGCTAGAGAGAGAGGAGGAGAGAGAGAGAGAGAGAGAGAGATTTCATCTGCTGGTTCAGTCTCCAAATGGTCAACAGCTGAGGCTGGGCCAGGCTGAGGGCAGGAGCCGGGAGCTTTCTCCGGGCCTCCCACGTGGGATTAAGGGCCCAAAATATGTGGGCCCTTCTCTGCTGCTTTCCCAGGTGCATTAGCAGGGAGCTGGATCAGAAGCAAAACAGCCAGCTCATGGACTAGCACTCGTACCGGATGCCAGCTTCCTGGTGGAGGCTTAACCAACCACACTACAGCTCCATGCCCACATGACAGATTTTGCCTTACTGTTTATAGCTTACAGGCTTGTCTCTGTCTAAACCAGAAGACTCCTAATGTTTGAATTAAAATCTTCCTTGTTTTTGTTTTTTTTTTGACAGGCAGAGTGGACCAGTGAAGAGAGAGAGACAGAGAGAAAGGTCTTCCTTTGCAGGTGGTTCCAAATGGCCGCCGCGGCCAGTGCAGCTGGCGCGCTGCGGCCGGCGCACCGCGCTGATCCGATGGCAGGAGCAAGGTGCTTTTCCTGGTCTCCCATGGGGTGCAGGGCCCAAGCACCTGGGCCATCCTCCACTGCACTCCCTGGCCACAGCAGAGGGCCGGCCTGGAAGAGGGGCAACCGGGACAGAATCCGGCGCCCCGACCGGGACTAGAACCCGGTGTGCCGGCGCCGCTAGGCGGAGGATTAGCCTAGTGAGCCGCGGCGCCGGCCTGAAATGAAATCTTAAAACCTGGTTTTCTGAGAACGTCAGGAAAATTTTCAGAAGTAATACTCTATAAGGTAGGGCTCAGATAAGACCAAGAGAACTTGGACTGGGGGTGTGGGGATAAAGTTGACGTGTTGGGGGTCAGTTCTTACAGAACTGGAGACTTTGTAATTCTCATCTCCAATGAAGAGGGAAAAAAGACCTTAAAAATGTTTTCAGTGTTGAAGTTATTTTTAAGCTACAGTTACAAGTAAGTTGTAGCCAACTTCCTTATTATTCCTGGGTTTAGGATGTAATGGCACAGATGAGTAGTTTCCATTTTCCTTCAGAATATGTATTTGGATGTGTGTTTGAAATTTAATAAGTTCTGTGAGGACCTAAAATGTGATGAGGTAATTTCCCTCTCATGCCTACTGTGTGGAACTCAGCCAGTTCAGTTTCTTAAGAATGAAAACCATGCTTGGACTGTTTGTGGGAATTAAGGTCATGTTGGAGAGCACATTTTATTAGTAGAACTTGTTAATAAGAACAAATAATTTAGAATTGTAGCAGGTCAGTGATGGTGTAGAAAAGCAAAAGAAATGCATTTATAAGTGATTCCTTTTGCTTTATTGGGAAGATGAAACTTTTGAATATTTAGAGTATACAGAATGATTTTTCTTTTAAGATTTATTTATTTATTTGAAAGGCAGAGTATCAGAGAGAAGGGGAGAGATATATTATTCCCTGGTCACAACTGCCAGGTCTGGGCCAGACTGAAGCCAGGAGCCAAGAAACTCCGTCAGGTCTGCCACATGGGCAGCAGGGCCCAAGTGTTAGGGCTATCCTCTGCTGCTTTCCCAGGCGCATTAGCAGGGGGGTTGGATGGGAAGTGGAGCGGCCGGGACTTTATTGGCACTCTGAGAGGGGATGCACATAATACGGGATGTTTGTCACAAGTTTTTTGTTTGTTTGTTTTAAATTTATTTGACATAACAAAGTTATGGACAGTGAGAGAGAGAGACAGAGAGAAAGGTCTTCCTTCCGTTGGTCCACTCCCCAAATGGCCGCAACGGCTGGAGCTATGCGGATCCGAAGCCAGGAGCTTCCTCCTGGTCTCCCATGCAGGTGCAGGGCCCAAGCACTTGGGCCATTCTCCACTGCACTCCCGGGCCACAGCAGAGAGCTGGACTGGAAGAGGAGCAAGCGGGACTAGAACTCAGTGCCCATATGGGATGCCGGCGCCGCAGGCAGAGGATTAACCACGTGAGCCATGGCGCTGGCTCCTCATCACAAGTTTTAACCTGCTCTACCACAGTGCTGGGCCTCCGAGGATTTTTTTGTTTTTGCAATATTTTATTTATTTGAGAGGTAGAGTTACAGAGAGAGGTAGAAGTGGATCTTCCATCCATAGGTTCACTCCCCAAATGGCCACAACAGCTGGAGCTGGGCTGATCCGAAGCCAGGAGCTTCATTTGGGTCTCCCATGCAGGTGCAGCGGCCAAAGCACTTGAGCCATCTCCCACTGCTTTTCCAGGCCACAGCAGAGAGCTGGATCGGAAGAGGAGCAACCAGGACTTGAATCAGCGCCCGTATGGGATGCCAGCACTGCAGGCAGAGGCTTAGTCCACAACACCATAGCGCCGGCCCCAGAATGATTATTTGTGACAGAGAATTAATTGGGATAGTAAATAATAGATCTCTTTGATATTAAGAACTAAAATACTTGAAAATAATTACTAAGATCCAAAGGAAAATAACATGGAAGTTTCTCACATTTGTGTTTCAAAACATAGCCGAAAGAGGCAGAAGCTTTTCTTCTGAGTCTTTCAGAAGAAATCCAAAGACGACTCGAGTCTGCTGGCGTGAAGGGCAAACGTCTGACTCTGAAAATCATGGTGCGAAAGCTGGGGGCCCCTGTGGAGACTGCAAAATTTGGAGGCCATGGAATTTGTGATAACATTGCCAGGTAAGCTTCAAAAGGAGCTTGATAATTCTATTTCCCTGAAGCTTACTGTAACTAACAGAACATAAAACCCAGGAAGAGCTGTAAAGCTAAAGAGCTATAAAGTCTGGGGTTATTTGATGTTCTGTAGGTCCAGGCCTGTGCCCAAGGCCTTCGGAATTGGTAAATCCACTCCGGTTCGGCCATCACAAGTGGAATGGGAATGGTGTGGGGCTGGGGCTGGGGCTCCCAGACTGCTGTGGTCAGTGCGTGCACTGAAGGAAGTGCCTGCAGACGTGCAGCACCAGGGCACAGTTGGGGTTTGTGGACTTGGCAGCTCTCCCTGAGGGAAGTTTCTGCGCACTCCTTTCAGCCGTGATTTGTAGGTATGAACTCTGTGAAGAGAGTCAGTCTCTGAAAACTGGGAGGAAACGTTTGAAAGCTGTTTTGATGATTTTTAACATGAGGGCCACTTACTAAACTTATGTAAGATATGTGACCAAAATAAAAATTATTGGTTTTGCATGTCATTTTATACTGCATGATACAGTGTATTTTAATATATCTTTCAAACTAAAGGTAAAGCCTTCCGACGCTGGAAGCCACATGTAGGGAATTGGAGTCTGGTGCAGAGTAGCTCATGTATGTGGTGATGCTGCCATGTCATTAGGCAGCTGTCAGACACAGGCACTCCCCAGTTCATTGTTGTTTGTTTACCATGAAAACCAGGAGTATAAAGTATGCATTAAACAAAGGAACCTACAAAACATTTTATGCAGTTGGTCATTTTGAACTGTTACCTTTATCTCCTGTAATAAGTGTTAAAATGTATGTATATTTCAAACGGTAGTTTATTTAATATAGTTCAATATAGTGTTAGTGATCATTTCTATGATAAGCTATTTATTGGGCCTTTATTCAAGATTATTATCTATTATCATTTTTTAAAGATTTATTTATTTGAAACGTGGTATTACAGAGGCAGAGAGAGAGATGCCAGCACTGCACGTGGCAGGTTTACCACTGCACCACAGTGCCAGCCCTAAGAGTAGTACCTTAAAAAAAAAAAAAAAAAGATTGCTTTCTTTATTTGGAAGAGTTACAGAGAGGCAGAGGCACAGAGAGAGAGAGAGTTCTTCTATCCAGTGATTCACTCCTCAAATGGTTGCAAAGGCAGAGCTGGGCCAATCTGAAGCCAGGAGCCAGGAGCTTCTTCCAGGTCTCCCATGTGGGTACAGGGACTCAAGGACTTGGGCCATCTGCTGCTTTCCCAGGCCACAGCAGAGAGCTGGACAGGAAGTGTGTACTTCTGATGGCCTTGATCTGGTGCCCATATAGGATACTGGCACTGCAGGCATTTGCTTTCCTGCTATGCTGCAACCCCAGCCCTGAGTATTATCTTGGTAAACATAATTTCTTTAGGGAAATCAGATTCAATTTTATGATACCTTTCTGGGAATACAAGTTGTTTTTCTAACTTCTGAAATTTAATATTTAAGATACACGGAAAGAATCATCAAAACACTTGAGTTTTCCATTGAAAAGAGAACCAGAAGCAATATATTGATACTGAGTTAGTAGTTTTCTCTTTGCATTGGGCTACCCTGCTCATGCCAGAGCCCCAGGAAGGCCCTTAAGAAAACAGTGAGTGAGCGTAGCACAGGGTTTGCCACCAATGGGTGGCTGATCCCCTGGTCTTCCAGTTCTAAGACTCACACTCCAGTCTTTGGGTATTAGGTTACAGTGGATGTCATGTCTCGTAGCTGACCACTTGGTTCCTAAGTCCAGATGAGACCAGGCGCCCTCAGGGTGTTAGGGCCCTCTAAAAGGCATGTTCACATGTGTGAATTACTCAGTGGCTTTAAACACAGTGGAAGTCAGTAACCCAAATGCAGAGAATTCCTCTCTTTTCTGTGTATCAGTTACATCTCAGCAGCGGTAACCTCCGAACCTAACATCCTGTGCTTATCGCTCATTCATACCCAGAATTGTGTCTTTTTCTAGGCTTCTGAATTCATTTTTAGCTGACAGATTCCATTATTGTTTTTACTTAGAAGTCCCAAGGTTCTGTGTACTTAGCCCCCTCTTGCTGCCAGTATCATTTGGTACTGTTGGGTTCCTTGGAGGGAAATTGTCTCATTCATTTTTATGTACTGTTTACATAACTGGTTGACTTCTCTGTAACTCCTTATATAGTTCTGTGCTATTCACTGGAGTACCAGTGAATCCATGTGCAAGGTGGCTTTTGTTTCTCTAAAAAGTACTCCTGTCATTTACAGGACTGTGACTCTTGACCAGGCAACAGATAGTGCAAAAGTAATTGGAAAGGCTGCACTAAACATGTTTCACACCATGAAACTCAATATATCGGATATGAGAGGGGTAAGTAAGTGTGTGATACCTTTCAGAATTCTGACTTGTTCTGGATGTTCCTGTGGTGGAGGTTAGGTCTATGCAGATCGTGAGCTCCACTCCCACCTGAGCTGACCTCCTTAGTCTTCATGCCAGTCTGGTTTGTTAGGACATTTCTGAATTTTCTGCGTGTCTGTAGTGCCTTTCTTTCTCAAAGGCTACTTTTAAACCCAATATCTTGTTCTTCCTGTTATTGTTTCCTAAAAGATGGGACATCAGAAAATGTTGTATCTTTAATGCCCTTTTAATCAGCAATTTATTCTGATGTCTACGGCATGACAGTCTAAAAGGGAGAAACAAACCACGGGAGAAGGCACCTTGGGAACAGCCAGGAAAGAGGGCGTCAGGATGTTGAAACTCTAGATCTTCTTAAAGACGAGTTGTGGTGGGTTGAATTTCGTGACGCATGAGTGGAGAACGTAGCTTGATGTGGGTTTAGTTAAAGGATTACAGTCGCTAAGCCAGCGTAATGGAAGCTGCTCTCTGAAATACTGCACACTGGAGCTTTACGATGGGATGGTTTTGGTAATCTGGTACACTTGCTGTTCTTCCCCCTCCCATTCTTGATTTGAAAATTATATAATTTTTAAAAAGAAAAAATAAATGAAGGAAAAAACTGTTTAAGTAGGGTATATTTTCAGCATCTTTAAAGGTCTGGTTTAAAACCTTAGTTGACTAGAATGTCATTGGAATACATTTAGAATACATTGGAATAGTATTTTAAAGATACTGCAGTATACTTAGGTAGAATGTATTGCTCACTAGCTAGGCTGGAAGTGGTTTTTGTAATAAATCATATACTAGGCTGTTTTGACAGATTTTATTTACCTCTGTTTTAGAAACAGGGTCTATAAGATAATCTTATCATTAAGAATGTTGCTTAAACTTCCATTTGCTTTTAGTGTTCCTTTTTCTAGTGACATGCTCTTTATTCTGGTTTCAGGTTGGGATGCATGTGAATCAGTTGGTGCCCGCTAACCTGGCACCCTCCACATGCTCTAGGCACTCAGCAGCTCAGTCGAGCCACCATCCTGGTGGACTGCGTTCCGTCCATGATCTCTTCCAAGTCCAGAAAGCTCAGAAATCCACAGAAGAGGAGCACAAGGAAGGTTGGTGGTCCAGGGTGTGCGTTTTTTCATATTGGCATGGCTCCAAGTGACATTTTTAAACAGATTTTCATTCTTAATTATGATGAGTCTGATCTGTGTTCTGTACGTGCAGTGGTCCTGTCTGCTGTGGATGGGGATATGTCGTCTGCCTCTAGAACCTGCACTTTGTTGCCGTCTCTTCCTGCACGTGTGCCAGCGTTTCCCAGTCCTGACACCAGCAGAGCCGAGTCTGCCGGGAAATGGAATGGTCTGCATTCTCCCCTCGGTGTGCAGTCCAGACTGAACCTGAGTATAGAGGTCCCATCACCTTCTCAGGTACATTCTTATCCTAAATACAACCGGAAAACCATGGCCCAGCTGGTTTTACAGAAGTTGTTTACGAATGAAAATGACATTTTTCATTGCTCAGCATAACCAAGAAAGGGAGAGAGGATTACTTGTTAGGGTGGGTCATGGTGTTGCAGAAATCTCAGCACGCAGCAGTTGGCTAGGTGAATGATAGCACTTTTTCAGAGATTAGCAGCTCTTGCAAGTTGTACAGCCTCGCTGAAAGGCAGTTCTGTGAGCTGCACCCTTTGTCAGCAGTCATGTCACAGACTCACGCTGTTCAACAAAGCAGCTTTGCTGAGCAGTAGGGAAGGAAGCAGAGGCCCACGTCAAAAGATTGGGCAGGATTTGAGAACACTTATTTCTGTAGAGTGAGTCATTTTCATAATAAAAGCTAATTCAGTTTGTGTGGGCTGCTAATGCGTTGTACTCCTGGTATCCTTTGCTCCTTTTCATTAGGATAGCACTGGAAACGATTTTGAAAAGGTTTGTGGCTACCTTTGTTCCCCAACATGGGAGGTGGCTGAGGACTAGGGAAAGCAGCAGTTCTGGTATGTTGGCATAGGACCCCAGTTGCTTGGTCACTTAATTCAAAACTGGCTGCTTCTAGCAGGATAAGGCTGGCCTGTCCAGGTTGTGGGACTGAGTGTTTGCAAAGGGCTTATGTGCAGACAGCTGGCTGTAGGCAGGCGATAATGCTGTACAGGTTAAGTAGTTAGGTCTCAGGAACTCTGTTCCAACTTGCTGCTTGCAGACTAGGGTTTGCTGTTGGTTTGGATAGTCTCCCTTCTGAAACGTGAACATCTGATCCAAGTCTGCCCATTGATACAAGTTCCGTCTTCCTGGCGATTCCCATTCCAGACCCCCGTGGCTGTATGTGGACCTTGCAGATCACAGAATGCTTGGTGGGCAGGGTTTGCTTGTCTTCTGCACTAAGGCTCCAGTGGCTAAAGGCCAAGATGTTCCAGAAATGAACTAATTTGGGGATGATAGCTTCCCTACTCCTGTAGCCTCTATACCTTATATTCATTATTCTAGGTGTTCAAACCAACTCTGTTACCTCTCCAGTACCCCATTTCTGTAAATTCAGACTCGTGTGTTTGGCATTTTGTAGCTCGATCAGTCTGTTCTGGAAGCACTTCCACCTGATCTCCGGGAACAAGTAGAGCACGCCTGTGCTATTCAGCAAGGCGAGTCCCACGGCCACCACAAGAACCAACCAGCAAATGGCTGCAATACCGGAATTTTGCCACAAGCAGTTGGGACAGTTTTGTTGCAAATACCAGAACCTCAGGAGTCTAACGGTGATATGGGAATCAATGTAATAGCCCTTCCAGCATTTTCACAGGCAAGTTAAACCTCAGGGCCTTTTCAGTGTTGGAAGTCCTCGTACCCATCCCGTTCCCTACGGCGTGCCTCATTTCCCTTTCTCCTCTGCACCTTCCTGCCCAGTGACTTCCACTGCGCCCATGGGGCAGCTCTTAGCTTTGCCCCACCTCATGTATGGAACAGACTGACATTGCAGCCTCTCCCTAAAGCACGTGAGGAAAGAGGAGGGGGAGGTTCTGTTACGTGGGTGTTTAAAGAAGCTTCTTGCAAAATTAAGTAAACACATCCTGTTCCCCTTTGGCCAGAACACCCAGCTGGGCCACACTTGACATGGACAGGGTGGAGATGCACACTCGTGCAGGGGACGGTACAAACCCCCAGATCTCATCGTGCTGCCTCTGCCAGTGTCTTTGCCCTGTGGGTTCTGCACAATGTGTGCATGTGTCAGCTCTGCAAGTTCAGAAGTCCTCTGATGGCTTATTTTCACCTTAAGCTTCTTGAAGATTTAATGAGCTTTGATACTGACCTAGTAAGAACTTGTACTTGAGAACAAGGTCTGTTGTGTGAGAAATACCAACCAGGTGCCATCTGGAGGGTTGAGGCCTGCCTTTTCCACCAGGTGGACCCTGAGGTGTTCGCCGCCCTTCCTGCAGAGCTGCAGAAGGAGCTGAAAGCAGCCTACGATCCACGGCCACGGCAGGGAGAGACCACCCCTCCCCAGCCCCCAGCCGGCACATCTGGTAAGCTGGAACACGGCAGGTGGCGGCAGAAGTCATTGTGGATATTAGGTACCATGGCCAGTCTGAGCTGTTAGGCATTTTAAGATCTCTTCATTTGTGGGGAGTGTTACCGTTAAGTCTTGTCAGAGAAGTCTGAAAATGATCAGCAATCTTTTGAACAGCTTTCTGCACATGTATCACAAATACCTGAACACAGACTTAGCAGCGCCAGCATCCCGTATCGGGAGTTTGAGTCCCCTCTGCTCCTCTTCAATCCAGCTCTCTGCTATGGCCTAGGAAAGCAGTGGAAGATGCCCAAGTCCTTGGGCCCTTGCATCTACGTGGGAAACCCAGAAGCTCCTGGCTACTGCTTTTGATATGAGCCAACTGTTATGGTCATTTGGGAAGTGAACTGGAGATGGAGGATGTCATCTCATTAACTCTAACTCTACCTCTCAAATAAGAATCGTCTTCCATCTGCTGGGTCACTCCAAATGGCTGCAACGGCCAGAGCTGAGCCAGTCTGAAGCCAGGAGTCTCTTCCAGGTCTCCCACACAGGTGTAGGGGCCCAAGCACTTAGGCCACCTTCTTTCCCTTTCCGAGGCCATAGCAGAGAGCTGGACTGAAACTGATGCCCACATGGGATGCTGGCAGTGCAGGCAGAGGCTTATTAGCTCACTATGCTAGAGCAGCCCCTCTCTCCCCCTAACTTTGCCTTTCAACTAAATAAAAATAACATTCCTTGATCTTGTAGTTTAGCAGGCCCTATTCTAATTACTTGATGAACTTCCACAGAAAAAACATTGTGGGTCTGAGTTGGGGTAGAGGAGGAGGAGGCATGGGGATGTGTTTGGAAGGAGGAGAGAGACCCATGGAACTATCCAGATTGACTTTATTGAGGATCTTACATCCATCTTCTTCCAGTGCCAAAGAACCCTTTACTTCACTTAAAGCCAGCAGCAGTTAGGGAAAAGAAGAGAAGCAAGAAAAAAAACCCCATCAGTCCCCACAAGAAGATCCAGAGTCCTTTGAAAAACAAGCTCAACAGTCCTGCAGCACCGCTGCCAGGGGCCTGTGTGAGTCCCCAGAAGCTAATTGATGGGTTTCTAAAGCATGAGGGACCTGCTGAGAAACTCCCGGTAATGTTTACTGCTCCTTTCACTTTGACCTTTATCAGCCCTTAATGTACCTGAAGCAGTGCCTAACTGTAGCACTTCCGTCCTTTGTTTTCCTAATAGGAACATGCTGCTTCCACGTCAGATGGGCCGGGCCCTTCCAGTCTGCAGCCCGAGTCACGCAGCAGCGGGAGACCCCCAGCACCCAATCTAGCTGGAGCTGTGGAATTTAGCGATGTGAAGAACTTGCTCAAAGAATGGATAACCACCATTTCAGGTTGGCTTGTCCTGGGTTAGATGGCCCAAGACGGAAGTGTAGTGGTCCTGTTTCTGTAACCGGCTACTCCCAATATTTTAAATTCTGGGGCTTTGAAAAGTTACTTAGAGCTCTGGTTATAGAAATGCAGTTTTCCTTCAGCCCTCAGCTCTCTGCCCCTCTCCTACAGAAAGATACAACTGGTCCTCATTTGAGGCTTTTCCCTCTCCCTAGATCCAATGGAAGAAGACATCCTGCAAGTCGTGAAATACTGTACCGATCTAATAGAGGAAAAAGATTTGGAAAAACTCGATCTAGTTATAAAATACATGAAAAGGTACATTTCCTCAGCACTTCTGTCCCCGGGAATAGCATGTCACAACAGATACTGAGCAAGTTTTAAACATTCAAAATCCTTTTTGAATTCTAAAGAAGGAAATGTATTAAAGTCAGAAAATGAAGGTGTATTACAGCCATGGGGCTAGAACTGTAGGAAATACTGTTTTCTGGTGTTGGGGCAGGGGAGGTTAGATAGTGCAGTGCTGGAGGTGGGCTGAACTGATCCTTGCCGGGCTCCGTCCTCACCTGCTTCTCCTCCCACCTTCAGGTTGATGCAGCAGTCAGTGGAATCGGTTTGGAATATGGCGTTTGACTTTATTCTTGACAACGTTCAGGTGGTTTTACAACAGACTTATGGAAGCACATTAAAAGTCACATAAATATTGCCAGGGAGCCTGGGGCTCTCCGCTAGCTGTGCCATAAGTGCTTGTGAGGTATTTGCAAAGTGCATGGTAGTGATGCTCTGAGTTTTTTTATAATTTTAAATTTCTTTTTAAACAAGTGTTTTGTACGTTTCTTTTCAAAAAGTGCCAAATCTGTCCGTATTGCATGTAAATAATGGTGTTAATTCTTTTACTGTAGCATAGATTCTATTTACAAAACGTTTGTTTATAAAGTTTTATGGATTTTTACAGTGAAGTGTTTACAGTTGTTTAATAAAGAACTGTATGTATATTTTGTACAGGCTCCTTTTTGTGAATCCTTAAAAACTCAACTCTAGGAAGCAACTACTGTTTACTATACTAAAGGCTGAAAAGTCGCCAGGCCAGAACGTTGCAGGCTCCGTGCTAAGCTTTGAAATTCCTGAGAGGTCCCAGACTGGCATTCTGCTTGTTCCAAGAAAGGGTAAAGCTTCGCAGCCACTGTCTCCGAGCATGAACCAAGAGCATGAGGAGGAAATCCCCTTTACTTCTCTCGTGAAGAAGTTCACAGTTTTTTCTAACTAGAGCACCCCGCCCACTTCTGGGTATGTCCCAGATAGTTTGGGGGTGGTGTTCACCTCTGCCTCGATTGGACCTTGACATAAAATACAGTTTGTAATTTTATGCAGTATCTTCCTTGCAAAAACCACTTTCTTCAGGAAAACCAAACTTAGCTACAGTCAGACCACAGGAGCTCAAGCACTAATATCCAGAGCAACAAGTGAAGCCCTGTCGCTGCTGCTCGTCTGACTAGAGAATCCCTGCTGTTGTCATGTGCTGGCAGTATCCGAGTTCTGCTCGGTGACCAGGCTGGTCCTGAGGAGATGAGCAGCTACGCTGTCATGGAAGCCTACCAGAGCTCACTGGTCAATGTCTGTTTTCTTTATTGGTGGTTTGGAACTCTGATTACAGTGGACGCTCAGGACTATACAAGCAGTAAAAAGCAGCCAGCTACACTTTTACACCATGGTTTCACACAAAAGCAGATAGAAATACCAGAATGCCTAATTTTCTATTTTAAAAACTTCCTAAGAGCATATGGCAGAAGGAGGCCAGAAAGAAAATTACTGTGGGAGGATTATGCATAAATAAAGTAGTATTTCTTACATCAAAAAAGTCCCAAGAATCACAAAATCTGCAGAAGCTTGGTTAATCAAATACTGCAGTACTGATTTAATCAGTATAAAAGTGAAAGAGCTTTAGATTTGTAATAAAAATCCAAATTTGGGGAAGGGCAAACTTTAAAACAGCAGCCAAGTAGGGTAGGGCAAGGAGGGGGTGTGGGAACAGGCACATTGGAACTGTGGGGACATGTAATTGACCACTGTCAAACCAGTGTAAGTTTCTTGGTTTCTCATGGAAAACATTTTATACACCTATTTTTTTTTTCCTTCCATACCAGTCTGTCCATGTTCAGATACATCTGTTCCATTTTTTGTCTTGATGATATTACAACAGAATATTGCGTTTACTCCAATTTCTGCCCCACGTGGAAAAATTAGATGATTTCAAAAACTTTCTTCAGCTCCACAATAAGCTGCCAATCACTCTTCTGCATTTCATCTCTGAACCAGTCTTTGAGTGCATCAATGGACTGCCGGCTGATCTAGAACGCCAGAGGCACAAATAGGGTGAACAAAGTAACACACACACCAGAGAAATTCGGTGGCCCCAGACACTGCTCATTATCAGGCTACCCAATGCAGTGCTAAAGGAGAATTCAGCACCAGACAGACCTGGAAGCCCTGGCATTCTCTGATAGTGCCGCCCCATGCAGCAAACACCTTTTCTCAGCAAAGATGAACCATGCTACTGACTGAACCAAATGAAGGAGCCTATCCCACAAGCCCAAACGCAGCCCACTCCGTATGCTAGGAATAGGTGACAACCAGACAACAGGGACTTGCCTCGCTGTGGGTGCTGCAGTACTCACCTTACTGACAAGAATGTCTGTAGCTTCAAAGTGTCTCCCAAACATCTTGGGAGATTCCCCGGGGATAGGTTCTATTTTGACACAGACTTCTTGTCCTTTCTTTGCAACATCTACTTGTTTATGGTTTACTTCAATACTTGTTACTATTCCAATGTCAACAAACTGTAAAATAAGAAAGAGTGCAATGCATGCTGAGGAATTCGCACCCCTCACAGGTGCCATGACTAAGCAGCTTAAAGAATGGAAACAAAGGACCCTACTTTTGAAGCTTTGGCATCAAGATCCTGCATTTATCACTCACCATCTCCACACTTTAATTTTCGCATTGGTAAACTAGGGCTGCCTACCAGCCCAAACTATACCTTTCCCAAGAGTCATAAGGGCCAATGGCCATCATTAATGTGCTGTAAATAGTTAGGGCCATGGTACTGACCCAGTGTCATTTTGTGTGACGAATCTCATGAGCAAAAAGCCGACATACAGGTTCTAAGGAAGGAGCCTGAAGCAGGCCGTGAAGTCTGCAAGGCAGCCAAGGAACTATGCAGTTTTGGTAAAGCGCCTGGCCGCCATGTGGAGCGACAGGACAGGAAGAGGGAGAACATGAAGAGTCTGTTTTGACGTTGGAGGCCAAAGCCACACACTAAAAAATCACTGCCGACAATACCCTAGAGCTTGGTCTACTGATGTGGTTAATAAGTGGACACTTTTGAAGGGTTGTGTCCCACTAAGGAAACCAGATCTGGGACAGGGAAGAGTTAGGTGAGCCTGGAGCATCTCACTGAGTCAGAAAAGGAAGAAAACGTTCCAGGTGCTATAGGCCCCCCTTAAAAACGGGACCAAGTGGATAATTATCAGAAAGAAGGGCACAGACTACCATGACAGACTGAGTATACAGGATGGTTACTAGAGCAGTTGCTGGGACGAGGGTACACAATTTTGTAACCATTTATGTAGTAACTTAGGCAAAGAGACCACTGGGATGAAGTTCTGAAAAACAGGTTGAGTACCCAGAGGCTACTTGTAATTATAAATGGGAAAAAGACGGAGAGATTCTAATGGAAGAGCAACTTCCCCAGGAAATTAAGGTTGGTGCTATGCAAGAGGCTCCTGTCTAATAACTCCTGACTAGATACAGGCCGGGGTGATCAGACAAATCCAAATGGAGCAACAGTTTTCAAAACATCTGGGTTAGACTCTTCACAAGTGATAGGGTTAACAGCCCAACACAATGCATGTTGAGAGCAAAAACATCCTTGGAGCAAGCGGGGGAATGTGACTGAGAACTGGAAATGACAGAATACCACAGAAGTGAAGTGAATTTTTCTTGGGTATGTGGGTATAAAGCCAAGATACAGACACTCATCATACTTTAAAATTTTTGCTGTCTTCAAAGTTTTAAATCTTAAAAAAAAAAGGCAATAATTCAAAGTATCTTATGACCCTCAGTAACTGAAACATGAGATGAGGTGCTAAGAATGAACACTGATTGACAGCAGTACCAAAGTACAAGTTACAGAGGGTGACAAGCTCTGCTTGTTGTTACGCTTTTTCTCTATCACGGTAATAACTGTAAGACGTTAAGAGTAGATAGCAGGGCCTGGCGCTGCGGCTCACTAGGCTAATCCTCTGCCCCTTGCGGCGCCGGCACCCCATAGGAGGACCAGGATAAGCACCTGGCTCCTGCCTTCGGATCAGCGCGGTGCGCCGGCCGCAGCGCACCAGCCGCGGCGGCCATTGGAGGATGAACCAACGGCAAAAGGAAGACCTTTCTCTGTCTCTCTCACTGCCACTCTGCCTGTCAAAAAAAAAAAAAAAAAAGAGTAGATAGCAGGGACAGCGCTGTGGCAGAAGGGGTTAGAGCCCTGGCCTGCAGCAGCTGGCATCCCATATGGGCACCAGCTTCAGTCCCAGCTGCTGTTCTTCTGATCCGGCTCCCTGCTGATATGCCTGGGATAGCAACGGAACATGGTCCCTGCACCCACACTGGAGCCTCAGAAGGAGCTCCTGGCTTTGGATCCACTCCACTCTGGCCATTGCAGCCATGAGGGGAGTGACCAGCAGATGGAAGACCTCTTTCTCATCCCTTGTCTCTACCTCTCTAACTCTTTCAAGCAAAAATAAATATATAAAAAGGTAGATAGCAACTCAATATGGAACACAGCACTGTGAACTACAGGCGCAAAGCTCTGTTACCAGCACTCTGGGATTCTCATTTTCTGCTTTCAGAAATAACAAGTTTTAAATTAACTGCAACTTACGTTTTTGCTTGGGACGCACATGGGTGTCCCTTGTTTTACCTGCCCTGCTTCCACAGTCACCCCCATCACTATTGGGTCTCGAGAATTGAAAATGTACTGAGGGAGGATTTTCATCTTGCAAGGAAATACTGCTATGTGCCTGTAAGGAAGAAACAAAGCAGGAACTTCTAAACTTATCCTTACACAACTGTTGAAGCATGAAAATAAACAGGGTTTCTCCTGTTATTTGGAAGCAGCTTTCCTCAGAGGCTGCAGCCCATGGCCCCATTCCTGTCGTACTTCCCACATCTTTTATTTATACTCTCTCCGAGTCTCGGGTGGAAAAGGAGCCATACCCCAGGGGCACTTTTGCCCGGACTCAAATACTGAGCCTGGCCCCTGACCACATGATATACTTTGCAGCCACACACTGGGACTTAAAACCCAGGTGGCTCCTGACATGTCATTTGGCACGTTGAGTCAAGTCTGTCCATTCAAGTCTTCACCATGTTCCCAGAATGTTGATCCCAAGACAACAATGCGGTTAATTTATCCAACATATGCTTAAAGTGCTTTACCTCTTTATCGAAGTCTTCAAACCCCATGTGTTCCAACTTCCTTCAGATCTCATCATCTAAATCATGCTATCACAATCTGAATCTCAGTATTTCCCATTCAGTGCCCCAAACTCAGCCCTCATTTACTCTGGGCAGTCCAGTCTGAAACCTGACCATCTTCTGTCTGACTACAGAGCCTCCTGACAGACACCTGTCACTGACTCCTTGACAACTCATGGTCCTCACAACACAACCAGTTTCACGCTGACCACAACAACCTTGCCAATGGCATCTAGCACAACTCAGAGAAAAAGCCCAAGGCTTCCCTAAGGCCCACACAGGGTCCTATGTGATACGGGCCTGCCAACTTCTCCGTCCCCAGTTTGCTGCTCTGCCTCATCCATGTGGCCTTCCAGCTCAGAACCCAGTCCTGCCTCACGGTGCTGTTAGCCTGGACACTGGGACACACCTCTGTGGTACAGTCCCCTCATCGCCACCGCTCTGCCTTTCCTGCTTTATTTCTCTTCCCGAGTCCTTTGCCTACTTACCCATTTATCAGTTGTCTCTTTCAAGGCAAGAGAGCCCCAAACCTCCAGGAGGAAACCTGGTACAGGTTCCTGCCACCTTCCCCTCCGGCGCTCGCCACAGTGTCAGCACTGAAAGTCCTTGGCATGCCTCAGCAGAATGGCTCTCTCCCCAGCACAAGCACTCTGCTTCCTCATTCTCCCCAGTCTAGTTCTGTTACAATGCCAGATAAGCAACTCCAGAAAGGTGAAGTCCCCAAATTTAACAACTGCTAACCCAGCAATGAGACCTAAGCTCCCAAATTCAATTTTAGTAAACAGAGAGGACTTGTTGAAACGCTACTGGAATGTTGCCAGTGTGAATTCCTGGTTTACAACATACCATGTCCGGTGAGTGAGCAGTTGCCACACTTTTGTTGCACATACCCCTCCCTCTTATCTAGTACTACTTAATTTCATTTCCAAGATACAATGTAAATAAAAGACTAACTTACTTAAATTCTTCTTGTTTCTGTTTCTTGTAGTCTTGTCTGTATTTTGTAAAGGCATCAAATAAATGATAAATAATTTCTGCACTAAAGATTCTAACTCCTAAACTATCAGCCATTTCTTGTGCATCCCGTTCAATTCTCACATCAAAGGCCAAAATTACTGCATACCTGGAAAAAAAAACACACACACACACACCAAGGATCATTCAATAAACAGTGTACCACAAAGGAATGGTTAACAGGTAAGCAACACGAAAGCCTCTGAGCAGGAGGGGAACTTACTGTGGATCGTGTTCCAACATCACTGAAGCCTTCATAACATCCTTCTTATGGACTGGACCAATGTTAATTCCTGCATACTGAAAAAGAGGGGCTTCTGGATGTACCTGCTAATAGTAGCACTACCCCAAACTATGACCAATATTGACTTGTGGAGCAGAGTACAGCTACTTACGGGCACTTCTGATGTCTTGAGAAACTCAAGTAGAGCTTCCAGAGAACCCAGTGTAGATGCCTGGACGTAAACTCCTTTTTCCTCTAATTTGATAGCATTTAGTGTCTGCTTTAATTCATGGATCAGTTCATCCTTGAAATGCAATCAGATTTGACAAGGTTACCTATCCCAGCAGCCTAGAATTAAATGGTTGCTCTTTTTGGTTAGGCACTCATCTGAAGATACAGAACTTAGGCTTAGAGAAAGCAAGACCTGTGTAACAACTACACTGTACAGGAGATCCTGGGGCCATATTCTTGCTGTTCTTCACCTCCTTCTGTCTTGGGTTTACTGGTTGTATAACAGATTTAACCGCTGCTCCATTTGATAACTATGGGAGATGCGGTGGGCAGAAACAAACACCCAGTAGGAGTACCACACAAATGTAGTGATAGCCCCAAAGCTGTGCTTGACTGTTTTTGTGGGGAGCAACCCGGACTAGACTAAGTTACTGGAATTAAGACTTATTCTATGCATCTGCTCTCCCACAATATGGCGCTGGGAGAGAAGAAAACAGCTTCTACGCAGCTGCCTCTTGCCAACTTGAGTGATGACCTCCAGGAGCTGATCCTGCTCCTGATTGGAGGAGAGCAGCGTACTCGGCGTGTGGGCAAGCCGAGTTGGGATTGGCGGAAGAGGACTATACAGGAGGAGAGAGACAACATGCACAAGGAACATCTAGGAGGAACATCTATCTGAAGGAACACCTGAGCAGCCCCCGAGAGAGCCGGCCGGCGGTGTGCCGCTCCCCCACGGAAGTGGGGAAAGTGGCAGGGGGAACCGCCCTTCCACGGAGGTGGAAGGGACGGTAGCCAACCCGGGAAGAACCAGCAGCAAACCCGGGGAGGGCCGAGCAGACGAAAGAACAGCGCAGGGTCCTGTGTCGTTCCTCCACGAAGACGGGGAGCGACATAATGGTGCCGTGACTCGGATATGAAGCCTAGGCAGGGTTTAGTGTCGTTCCTCCACGAAGAGGGGGAGCGACAGTTTTAACTATAAAATGCCCTAATCTCACCACCAGCTCTTTCTCCCATCACTGTTCCTCTGGAGACGGAGAAGATATTTTGACCAGAAAGAAGTACAACAAGAATGCCAGCATGACACCCAAATCCACTGCAAAGTCAGGACCAGGCAAAGAGGTCTGCTCTGTTTTCGCTGGCTCTGAGATGGCTGAGTCCCTGATACAGCTTAAAGAATAAAGACAGCCAGGGCCTGCACGGGCCACATGCTGTGTGTGTTTTTTTTTTTTTTTTTAACAGGCAGAGTGGACAGTGACAGAGACAGAGAGAAAGGTCCTCCTTTGCCGTTGGTTCACCCTCCAATGGCCACCGCGTCTGGCGCACCGCGCTGATCCGAAGGCAGGAGCCAGGTACTTATCCTGGTCTCCCATGGGGTGCAGGGCCCAAGCACTTGGGCCATCCTCCACTGTACTCCCTGGCCACAGCAGAGAGCTGCCCTGGAAGAGGGGCAACCGGGACAGAATCCGTCGCCCCGACCGGGACTAGAACCCGGTGTGCCGGCGCCGCAAGGCGGAGGATTAGCCTAGTGAGCCGCGGCGCCGGCCTACATTTTCTCCTGGCCAAGTGAATGAAGTCTGCTTTTGTGATACTACATTGGACAGGAGCCAACTGCTCCTAAGAAGGAGCAAACGGGCTTTGAAATGACCCCCTAGTAAGAATAAAATTTTATTTAGTCCTGTCTACATAATAGGATATCTAAAATAGAATATAAATAAGCAACTTCATAGGAGCTCTCAACTCATACTTGAATTTCAGCATTCTAGTGTATATAACCATTATTGATGCCAATTCATATTACAAACTTCCAGTAATGTAAAAGCACCAAGTCTGCTAAGCAGCAGACTGCAAGCTTCACAGAGACCAGAGCTCCCATTTTAGTCCGCATCCCTAGCACATTCCCTGCCGACACACAGCAGAGCGCGAACAGTTCTGGAGAAGCAACTTACTTTAAGAACAGGAATTTCATCTTCCTTATAGGCCACAAGGAGAGGTAAGCCAGCCAATGTTTTCTCCAGGTCTTTTCCAAGAATTTTTACTCCCTGAGCCGCTTCTACTTCTTTATGCTTTTCATACTGGTTCTACAGAGAGAAAAACTTTCGTTACCTTTTGCCTGAAAAATGGTTAGTAGTAGGAGATGACTTGAGAGAATCTTCATGGCCTTGGAGTTAGGACTTATTTCTTAATTAGACACAAATAGCTATCACCATGAAGTAAAAGACAGATAAATTCAACATTAAAATTAACAAAATCCTGAGGTGGCTTTTTGGCCTAGCCCTTAAGACACCTGTGACCCATACTGGAGTCCGCACATTCTGTACTCCGTTCTGTTCGCGATTCTAGCTTCCTGCTAATGTAGATACTGGGAAGCAGCAATGGTTCCTGCCACTCACATGGGAGACCTAAACTGTGTATCTAGCCCAGGCCTGCCCTTTGTGTACATTTAGTGAGTGAACCAATGGATGGGAGTTAACCTTCCCGACTCAAATGAATTTCAAAAACAAAGTATTGTCAGTAGCAGGTTAGTATAATACATACACAACATACTCTTGTCTTGAATATTAACAACTCCCATGTATCTGTAAGAAAGGCAATGCAGAAGAAAACTGAGCATTTTGTAGAGGACGAAATGAATGGCAAAGTAATGCCAAACATTAACAATCAGGAGGGGCCAGCACTGCGGCTTAGTAGGTAAAGCTGCCACCTGCAGTGCCAGCACCCCCATATGGACGCTGGTTCAAGTCACGGCTGCTCCACTTCAGATCCAGCTCTGTTACTGCCTTAGAAATCAGTATAAGATGGCCCAAGTTCTTGGGCCCCTGTGCTCACGTGGGAGATCTGGAAGAAGCTCCAGGCTTTGGATCAGCCCAGCTCTGGACATTGTGGCCAACTGGGGAGTGAACCAACAGATGAGAGACCTCTCACTCTCTGCCCCTCCTTCTCTCTCTGTGTAACTTGGACTTCCAAATAAATAAATCTTTAAAAAAAAAAACAGGTAATGGAAACTGATAGCCAATGAGCTATGTATGTACCCACCAGAATGGGAAAACTTACATCTGATGGCATTAAATAGAGCTGATTAGGATATAAAATAATATAAAGTAAAATCTTGCAGTTTGGAATCTAAGTTGTTTCACCCACTGTGGATAAGAGTATGGTCATAGAAAGTACACCTGGAACTATCCACGAATGAGGACTTACTTTCACCTGAAGTCTACACCCTGAGAAACGGACACAAATGCAGTAGGATGTAATAAAAGAATGTCACAGCAGCAACATCAGTAGTAGAAATAAAAAAATACTTTTCCATAAGCAGGGTAATAGATAAATCATCATGTATTCACGAAATGGAACAAAAATCTTAAATGTGTTTGGAAGGAGCCAGATATGAGGATACTTGGAAGTCTGCGCAGGAGCAGGCATCTACCTAATGGTCAGGACACTTAGATCCCATACTGGAGTACCTGGGTTTGATTGTTAGCGCCTGACTCCAATTTTCTACCAATGTAAACCGGGAGAGAGGGGTGGTAGTGGCTCAAGTCACCCGGTTCCTAGCTCCTAGCTTTAGCTGCACGGCAGCCCAGGATATTGTAGGTATGCGGGGGAATAAATCAGCAGATGGCAGCTCACTGTCCATCTCTTTCTGCCTCTCAAATAAATATTTAAACGTTCATGCAGGGATCAAGTGTTGTGGTGCAGCGGGTAAGCCAAAATCTGTGTTGCCAGCATCCCAAACGGGCGCTGGTTCAAGTCTAGGCTGCTCCGCTTCCAATCCAGCTCCCTGCTAATGGCCTAGAAAAAGCAGCAGGAGAAGGTCCAAGTGTTTGGATCCCGAGCACCCACATGGGAGACCCGGATGAAGTTCCTGACATTGGCCTGGCCCAGTACTGGCTATTGCACCTATCTGAGAAGTGAACCAGCAGATGAAAAATTTGTTTTTCAGATAAATAAACTTTTAAAAACCTCATGAAAAATGTAAACTATGAAAAAGTTTACATAAATTTCAAATATACTGCACTAACACAAACACTTTTTTCTCACAAACTTGTTCAAGTATCCTTATAAACACTGAGAATAACTCCATTTACATAAAGTTCACAAAATGTTTTTAATGCCCTCAGGTGCTCAAACTATAATATTAGTTACTATCATAAAAATGCAACTTTGATAATGCTCAGGGAGAAGCACTAAGAGGCAATATTCTGATTCTTCATCTGGTTGCTTCTTAAAGATTAAGCTTTTCTTATATTTTGTGCAGTTTTTAAGTATGAACGTTATATTTAATAATCCCCCCCCCCCTTTTTTTTCTGACAGGCAAAGTAGAGAAAGAGAAAGGTCTTCCTTTACTGTTGGTTCACCGTCCAATGGCCGCTGTGGTCCACGCGCTGCGGCCGGCACACTGCGCTGATCCGAAGCCAGGAGCCAGGTGCTTCTCCTGGTCTCCCATGCGGGTGCAGGGCCCAAGCACTTGGGCCCTCCTCCACTGCACTCCTGGGCCACAGCAGAGAGCTGGCCTGGAAGAGGGGCAACCGGGACAGAATCCGGCGCCCTGACCGGGACTAGAACCTGGTGTGCCGGCGCCACAGGCGGAGCATTAGCCTATTGAGCCGCAGCGCCGACCTATATTTAATAATTTTAAAAAGGTAATGAAAAAAATCAGTTAGCATTGCAGAACCAAAACAATGTGTTCAATTTTTAGGAATGACCTTGTCTAGTAAGTAACGACAAAGGGTATTCAAAAATGTCACAGAAAATGCATATGATGCCAAAATTATGCTTGGATTTCAAAATTTTTTTGCACTGAAATAAATTTATTTCCATTCTGATAGATGGGCCCTGTCTATTAGGGTGACTGAAGGGAAACAGAGACTGAGGGATCTGTGCATTGTGCATTAAGCCAAGCAACTCTCAAAGGAAAAAACCACCTCAGCAGAATTTGTAAGCACCCAAAGCTCCTATGTGTCACACTTCCCACCCTGGCTCACCTTCACTCGTAATTCCTTCATAGGAGGTGGTAACAAGAGGCCTCGAATCTGAGTTACAATGGGTCCTTCTACTCCAGGAACAATGATGGTATCTCCTTCCTTCAAACGGCCATTAATCAGTATGACATCTATAGTGGTGCCCATTCCAGGAAGAGCTTTAACCTGACAGACAGGAGAGAAAAAATATACAGTGCATCACACATGTTCATTAAATGTGTAGGTGGTAAATACTGGAGCATCCAATGAATTCTCTATTAAAAAAAAAAAAAAAGAGGGCAATACGCTGAAAAGCTGACCATTACCTCCATCACCTGTGCTCTCAGCTCTTCACAGTGCGCAAGCCTCTTGCTCAACATGGTCTGAGTTAACTCAACAAGAAGGTAGATGAGACTTCCCATGCCATCACCAGTATGTGCAGAGGTAGGTACCAAGGACACAAAAGTACGGGGATCCTTATTCTCATAAAACAAAGCAGCGTTCAAACCCTGGAAGCAAAAATCATTCTACAATGGCAAGCTATCACAGGAGGCACCTGGAGGAGGCCTGACTAAAAGCAAAAACACTCTAGAAACAGTTATGTTTATTCTGTAGGCATTAATTACATTACAGAAAAGTGGTTTCTACGCAACTCAGTTTTTTACATTAGAACATTCAGACTACAAAGACTCATCTACGAAAGAGTTTTATGATACTAAAGAGGAAAAAGGGATGAAGGAAAAATAAAAACACTATCTTGTTAACAGAGGAACCGAACTGGTATTAGAGAAGATGTTGACTGCATTGTAGAGATAATGTAATAAAAAACTATTCTATGAAACAGGCCCTTCATGAGGAGGGAAAGCTTTCTTACCTGCTGGGCAAATTCAACAATAATAGCCTTCGCTCGCTCCTCAAATTCATCTTTTGTATTCTTTTTCTGCTTCTTTAAAGTAGCAGCCACATCAGAGTCAGGACTCTTTTTCCAATCATATAACCTATCAATCTGGAAAAGGGTTTTCATAAGGGTTTTCATTTCTAAAAAATTTAGGAACATTTAAAATTTAACATCAATAGTTCCAGAAAATTCCTAATGTATACCTCATGTATACTGGATGTGATTTACTCAGATATTTTTTGTACCTAACTAAAGCTCCACTGTACCTTCTCTTAAATTGGAACTTGCTGAGGTACCCAGCTACCTGTTAGCCTTCAACAAGTTCACAAGGGGCTGTTATTTGTAAAAGATGAGATCCTAGAAATTATCCTACGGCCATTAAAATGTTGTCAGAATTCCAATGCAGTCTCGTGAATACTTGACAAGAGTGAGGATTGGGGCTGGCACTGGGGCACAGCAGGTAAAGTTGCTGTTTGTGACGCCAGCATCCCACATGGGCATTGGTACAAGACCTGGCTGCTTTACATCCAATCCAGCTCTCTGCTAATGCCCTGGGAATAATTTCTGACTTTCAAATAAATAAATCGTTTAAAAATTAAATAAAAAGACTTATTTACTTGAAAGGCAGGGTTACAGAGGAAGAAGGAGAGTTGGGGGTGGAAAAAGAGAAAAAGGGAGCTCTTCCATCTGCTGGTTCATTCTGCAAATGGCTACAACAGCTGAACTTAGCTTTTCCAAAGTTAGGAGCCAGGAGCTTCCTCAAAGTCTCACACGTGGGTGCAGGGGCCCAAGCACTTGGGCATCCTCCCACTTTCCCAGGCCACCAGTATGGCACTGGATCCCAAGTGGAGGAACTGGGACTTGAGCAAGTGCCCATACAAGATGCCAGTGGCTTTACTGCTACGCCACAGTGCTAGCCCAATAAATACATAATTCTTAAAAAAAAAAAAAAAATCAATGAAACAAAAGATAAATGCTACGAACAGACATATATGGTCAATTAATCTTTAGCAAACACTTCAAAACAATTACCCAAGTTCTTGAACCCTGCACCCACATGGGAGACCTGGAAGAAGCTCACAGCTCCTGGCTTCAGCCTGGCCCAGCCCTGGCCGTTGCAGCCAATTGGGTAATAAATCAACAGATAGAATCTCTATAACTTTAGCTTTTAAATAAATACATAGACCTTTAAAACAAAAAAAGATAATGTGGGGGCTGATATTGTGGTGCACAGGGTTAAGCTGCTGCCTACATAACAGTGGCATCTATATAGGACGGGTGCTGGTTGGTGTCTCAGTTGCTTTGCTTACAATCCAGCTCCTTGTTCATGTTTGGGAAAGAAGCAGAAGATGGTCCAACTGCTTGGGCCCATGCTACCAACGAGGGATACCTGGTTGGAATTCAAAGCTCCTGGCTTTGGCCTAGCCCAGCCCCAGCTGTTTTTGGCCATTTGGGGAGTGAACCAGTTGATGGCAGATCTGTTTCTTTATTTCTTAACTCTGCCTTTCAAATAAACAAATAATCTAGAAAAGATAATGTACATATCCATAAACTTTTTGAAGCCCTCATGTATTAAAAAAAACTCAAAAATCAACAAACAAACCAATAAAGAACAAAAGATTTTCAATGGACTCTTCAAAGAGAGATGCTGTCATCTCCATAAGCATTAGTGTATTACCGCATGACTAATGCAATTAGCCACAATGGAAATGGAAACCAAAGCAAAAAATAAAAAAAGTACAATATGTCTATTAGAAGACAATATGTCTAAAGACAAATGTCATCCAGGACCTGGACTATTTAAAAAAACAAACAAACAAACTTATTTTCATTTCATTCAAAGATACAAAGACATACGTGACAGAGACCATCCATCCTCTGGTTCACTCCCCAAAAGCCAGTAACAAGCAGGGCTGGACCAGTTGAAGCCAGGAGCCCTGAACTCATCAGGGTGTTCCACAGGGGTGGCACGGACTCAGTACTGAACCACCATCTGCTGCCTCCCAGAGTATACACTAGCAGGGAGCTAGACTGGAAGCACAGTAGCCAAGACTTGAAGTAGGATGGGAAGGGGATGCGAGCACGTGAGGCACTGACATAACCTCCAAAACTGCAAGCCTGTCCCTGAAAGCGGATCTCTTACATAATGCTGATGAAAACGTAAAAAATAGTCTCTGGAAAAATTTGTTGTTTCTCATCAAGCTAAACATTACACATACCACATGATGCAGCAATACTATTCATAAGCTTTTACTCAAAGGAAGCAAAAACAAATGCGTATACAAATATTTGTATAGAAATTTATACATTCAACCTATTAACAAATAATCTGAAAATGAAATCAACCCAAATGTTCTTCAATAGACAAACAAAGTATGGTATGATTTCAAGGGTGGGGAATGCTCAGCCTGCTGGCCTTATAAGGCATGTGAAATTATTTGGTCTGGCCCTGCCAATACAAGCACAGGTAGCACTCAAAATTCAATACATCTATAGCAGGCTAATTTTTAGGTTGATAATTTTATATGGCTCATGAATGATGCTATAAATATTCAAGTGGCCCTTGGCAGAAAAAAGGTTCCCCACCACTGAATAATGAACTACTCAGAATAAAAAGGAACAACCTACGATATATGCAACAACATTAATGAAGGTATAATAACACAAGAAACAACAAAAAATCAGACTCAAAACATGACACACTATGATTCCATTTAAGAAACTGAAATGGCAAAAATAGTGTGCAGTCACAAAAAGATCAGTGTTTACCTGGGAATACATCAGACACTGTGCATGGGAGCATGGCAACTTTCTGGGAATATGGAGTGATCTATTTTCTGAATAGTAATGGTTAAATAATATATAAATTTGTCAAAACACATTAAATGTATACTTGGTATAGAGTCCATTTTCCTATGCTAGTTATACTACATTTAATGACAAAAAATTACGAAGCATGCTTTTGCAATTAAATTCTGAGAGGAAGTGCTTACCTTATTGAGTGCAACAATGAAGGGACATTTTTTAGATTTGAGAAGGTTGATAGATTCAATTGTCTGGGGCTCCAAACCATGCATAATATCAACAACTAAAATGGCAATATCACAAAGAGAGCTTCCTCTATTTCTCAGATTACTGTTGAAAAGAGGAAAGAGATGTAAAATTAAAAAATACTGAAAAATTTCTTACATTAAAATAAACAATTCCTTCATAAAACCTAGACAAAAAGAATAAAATAGCTATCTTTCAGTATCCATTGGGGATTGGATCTATTCCCTCCCTCCTTCAAGGACACCAAAATCTATGGTTGCTCAAGTCCCTGACATACAGTAGCACATATTTTGCATAGCTTTTCAAATATAGATTTCCCACCAACATTCTCATTAGCACTTACATGCATGGACATCAAAATTATTGCACTAAAATAAGTATCTCTTATTTTCTACAAACTTTTGCGAGTACTCTGGTATTTACAGATAGCCTGAAAACACCACCCTCTTGAATATTTTAATCATCTCTGATTATTCATAGTACCTAATACAATGTACATGTTATATAAATGTCTGTTGAACTTTGTTTAGTAAAAAGAAAAAATTTCTCAGCATGTTCAGTGCCTTTTTTTTCCATTTATTTTTATTCAATTTTTTATTTATTTGAAAATCTGAAACGTAGAAAGAGGAAGGGAGAGAGAGGTGAGGGGCAAGAGAAGAAGGGAGAGGGGGAGATTGTCCATCTGCTGGTTCATTCCCTAAATGCCCACACAGCTGGGGCTAGGACAGGCCAAAGTCTGGAGCTACATTTGGGTCTCCCACGTGGGTGGCACAGACTCGAGCACTGAAGCCATTATCTCATGCCCATGCCAGAAACAAGTTTTGTAAAAAAAATTTTTTTTTGACATGCAGAGTTAGACAGTGAGAGAGAAAGAAAGGTCTTCCTTCCATTGGTTCACCCCCCAAATGGCCACTATGGCCGGTGCGCTGCACCGATCCAAAGACAGGAGCCAGGCGCTTCCTCCTGGTCTCCCATGCAGGTGCAGGGGCCCAAGCACTTGGGCCATCCTCCACTGCCTTCCCGGGAGACAGCAGAGAGCTGGACTGGAAAAGGAGCAATCGGGACAGAATCCGGCGCCACAACCGGAACTAGAACCCGGGGTGCCGGCGCCACAGGCGGAGACTACCCTAGTGAGCCACGGCGCCTGTAAAAGTATTCTTAATTTGCTTTTGGTTGAATCAATTTATGCATAATCTGTGGATACAGATGGCCAACTATATACATGCTAAATTTTACAAGTCCCATTAGCCCTTAACTTGTCAAATGCTTGTCTTATAATCTGACTTGGTATCTTTTAGAATGAGTTAATTCCAGAAATTAATATTGCTGTCAATTTTATAAACTAAATTTTTTGTGTTAAAGAAAGTTTCTGGAGCTGGCGCTATGGTGTAGCAGGTAAAGCCGCTGCCTGCAGTGCTGGCATCCCATATGGACACCAATTCGAGAACAGCTGCTCTACTTCTGATCCAGCTCTCTGCTGTGGCCTGGGATAGCAGAAGACGGTCCAAGTGCTTGGGCCCCTGCACCCACATGGGAGACTCGGAAGAAGCCCTGGCTCTGGATAGGCACAGCTCCAACCACTGCAGCCATCTGGGGAGTGAACCAGTAGATAGAGGCCGACCTCTCTCTGCTTCTCCTTCTCTCTCTGTGTAACTGACTTTCCAGGTAATAAATAACTACTCAAAGGTTAATCACTCCACTGTACTTAATGATTCCAAGCAGTCAGAAGACAAAAGACTCAAATCAGTCTTACCTGAAAGATTCATGCCCAGGAGTATCAATAATCAGCATTCCTGGAATCCGTACATTCTCTCTATCAAACTAAAGACAGTGGGGAAAAGGGTAAAGCTGAAGGTGTCCATAACAATGAGAGCTTCTTTAACAAATCTACTTAAATGAAAATTTAACACATCTTCCTTTGCCAAATAAAGAAGTGAGTTAACCAACAAAGCTTAACAGTTAATATCTTCATTCATTTATAAGTTTTACAGAGAAAAATGAAATGAAAAACTATCCCCACTATTAAAGTTATAAACTATGGTATGGTCTGAATTTGAGCATATTATTTAGCTTAAATAATGATATAAATAATCTCAGCAGTCACCTGAGATTAACTGTAAAAACCTGACATGCTAGCCGGCGCTGCGGCTCACTAGGCTAATCCTCCGCCTTGCGGCGCCGGCACACCAGGTTCTAGTCCCGGTTGGGGCGCCGGATTCTGTCCCGGTTGCCCCTCTTCCAGGCCAGCTCTCTGCTGTGGCCCGGGAGTGCAGTGGAGGATGGCCCAAGTGCTTGGGCCCTGCACCTGCATGGGAGACCAGGAGAAGCACCTGGCTCCTGCCATTGGATCAGCACGGTGCACCGGCCGCGGTGGCCATTGGAGGGTGAACCAATTGCAAAGGAAGACCTTTCTCTCTCTCTGTCCACTCTGCCTGTCAAAAAAAAAAAAAAACAAAAAAACAAAAAACAAACAAACAAACAAAAAAAACAACCTGACATGCTAGAGGTGGTGCTCAGTATCTGCAAAGCTTATCTGGTCCAGTGTGCAAACCAATTCTTACTGTCCCCAAAATATCACAATATTATATTTGAAAGAGAATTTCCACACTGATCAAAAGTGCTGAAGAATAAATGTATACTTTGCTTTATTCAAATGTCATAAACACTTGCTTTTCCAAACCTAAAGTATATAAATGAATGAGAACATTGCAAGAGACCTCACTTGGACATTCCCTTTTAAACTAAAAAGTAGTACTTGTCAACAAATCTCACATAAACACAACTTAAACACAACTTTATCATTCTGCTTAACTATATTTTCTGCTAATCTTCAACGATTCTGTAACGTTTTATCTGGTAACCCATGTCAAAATGACTGAAATACGAAATACTTCAAAATTGCATTCTGGAGGTCTTAAATCAACAAGCACTGAGTACCACAATTACAGTTCAGTGTCTCAATGGCAAACAATAATTAGGATTGTCACATAAAGGTTATCCTGAGAACTTTAACACAGGGCTAATAATTATCGTGCTCTTTGTGGCCTAAAATAACACAAAATTTCAAGCTCTAGAAACTGGTAGGGTAAGCTGTTATGAAGCCTCCAATGACTAACACACAGAATTACTATTTAAAACACAATGATACTAAATTTTAAATTTGGAAAGGTATAATTCAAAAACTATGCTAAAAAATTCAAAAGTATACAAAGAAACAGTATACCACATAACTAGAAAATTAACCCACAGAACCCATGAACAAGAGGCAAAAAGTCCATACATCTCGTAAGATAAAGAAGACTGGCTTGAGATCAAATTTAACCCTAGCACTTTATACAAGAAATGGGAAAGTCAAGATACAGATACTTAAGGAGCACTATGGATCAGAATTTTGTATGTGGTCAAATGTCTTTCTATTTAAGGCCAGAAAATCATCCTTCAACATTTAAAAACTAAAAGAATGTTATTTCCATAATTCCTTCCTTAGAAATCCATCAGAAAATAACCTTCACAAAACTCAATCACAATCAAAACAAACAAAAACAGGAGAGACAAGGTCAGAGACTATTTACAAGCAGATTTACAAACATGACATTAAGGACCAAAGGGAGATGCTTGCATGTTATAATAAACACTGTTTTTCAATTTATTGCTTAGCAATTCCAAATTCACCACTTCTGCCTGCTCAGTGATAATGGAACTTGGGAATAATTTATAAGGCTTAGTGTTGGGTCTGGGGCATTTCTCTATCAAATGAGTGTGGGACTCCCTGCTACACCAGACATCAGGGACGCACTCAAAAACTAGAACTAATAAAATTTTGTCAAAAAGACCAGAAGCCAACTGGGCAAACATGGAACTATCAGCAAAATTAGAAAATGGATTAACATATAGCCAATATCACGGCTGGCGCCGTGGCAGAGTTGCTAAAGCCGTTGTCCAGAGACTGGTGCCCATATGGAGCAGTCACGGCTGCTCTACTCTCAATCCAGCTCTCTGTGCTGTGGGCTGGGAAAGCAGTGGAAGATGGCCCAAGTTGTTGGGCCCCTGGCTTCTGGCTTCAGACTGGCACAGCACTGGCCATGGCAGCCAACTGGGGAGTGCACCAGCAGATGGAAGACCTCTCTCTTTCTCTCTCTGTGTAACTGTGACTTTGAAATAAATAAATAAATCTTTAAAAAAAAAAAAAAAGTTACTTGTGGGTAAAGAAGAGGGTTTTGACTGGGGAGGAAACCATGGAAAGTCCTAAGTTAACCGGCCAGGTCCTATCCCCTAAGAAAGGTGTCTGCCTTATATGGTGTTGGCATTACTATGACTCATTATGCTCTACATTTGCTACTGCGTCACACTGAGCACAGACAAGCTGAATACCATCAAACGAGTAGAGAAAGTACAGGGGATACATAAAAAGGAATTAATGTCACAGAAGGAAACAAGAATTAGGGAGAGAACAGAATTTTTAGATGAACATCTGTAGCAACTTAAAATACAGAGAAGAATGACAAGCTTTCACTTCAGAACAGAGGTTGCCTCTGAGAGAGAAAAGGAGGGAATGGAACGTGAGCACTCCGACCATATGCAGTGCTCTGCTTCTTCAGAAGAAAAGATATGGTCAAAGAGTAGACATGTTACTTCTGAATGGTGAACACAGAGATCTGTTATAGCAGTTTTTCTTTTAGTTGTATCTGAAATAGAGAATAAAATACACAAAGAATACAATGTACTTACATTTTTAATCATCTTAGTCTGTTCATTAATAGCTTCTAGGGGAACATTGGTGGCCCCAATTTGCTGTGTGATCCCACCTGCTTCACCATCTTGTACATGTGTATGACGGAGCTAGAAGACAGTAAATACACACCGGTATTTTTTGACATGGAAAAACAGACACAAAAACAATAAAAAATTAGAAATTAATTTACTATATACAATTTTAAGTGCTAGAAATTTTTAAAACTTTAATAGAGGCCGGCGCCGCGGCTCACTAGGCTAATCCTCCGCCTAGCGGCGCCGGCACACCGGGTTCTAGTCCCGGTCGGGGCGCCGGATTCTGTCCCGGTTGCCCCTCTTCCAGGCCAGCCCTCTGCTGTGGCTAGGGAGTGCAGTGGAGGATGGCCCAGGTGCTTGGGCCCTGCACCCCATGGGAGACCAGGAAAAGCACCTGGCTCCTGGCTCCTGCCATCGGATCAGCGCGGTGCGCCGGCCGCAGCGCGCCGGCCGCGGCGGCCATTGGAGGGTGAACCAACGGCAAAGGAAGACCTTTCTCTCTGTCTCTCTCTCTCACTGTCCACTCTGCCTGTCAAAAAAAAAAAATAAAAAATAAAAATAAAAAAAAAACTTTAATAGAGTACCCTTTACTTATTTTAAAGTTTTATCAATGAATAATACACAGTGTTTTCTTACTTTATCCAGAATTTTTGTCTTTCCTGTGTCCACATGTCCAAGTACACAGATAACAGGAGCTCTTAGTTTCTCTGTATTTACATTTTTACTGTGTTCAAGCCGACGTTTCTAGAAACGAAAAAAAAAAAAAATCAGAAGAGTAACTTATTATCTCAAGCCCCCATTTTCCTCATTTCTTCTGAGTTATTATGCCTTGGCAAGACAATGTCACAATCTGCATCTAAATTCTTAACTGACTACATGCAATTGCATTTTACGATGAGAAGTTTGCAATTCTCATCATAGCACCTCTGAATAAGCAGAAATCTGATTAGAACAGATTTCAGAGTAGCACTGCTACATATAAATAAGAATGCTGTGAAATGTCACCTCAAACTTTCTGAACATTTTTGTAAGCAGCCAATTTAATGAAATACAATAATAAATAGAAATAAATTAATATATCATCCAGAGCATACAGTATAACCCCTAATATATGTGGGGGCTTGTATAAAGAGAGATAAGTTTGCATGAAAGAAAAAATTTTTACTTAAATGTAAAGATTTTTAAATGATTTCATACTTTTATCCAATGCACAAATGTCACAAGACCTCTAATGAGCAAAGTGTTTAAGCCTGAGCTTAAGTAAATCCAATGACATCTACTGCCTTGCTAAGGCACTACCATGTCCATGGACAGCAGTCATGATAAGAAAGCCTTCTTCAATCACGTTTCTTTGTAGCATTTACCTGAGGACCAAATAAAAACACAAGCCAGCACAGCTCTACTATGAAGCTATCAATCATTCAAGTACAGTAAAGCTGGCATTTAAATTAGCTATTTTCATCAATGTCATTTTTCTAAGAGCCCTTTCCCTTATTTCTAGCACTTGTTATCAGATTTTTCCATTGAAATTAGAACAAAAATTATTTTTCAAATGTCAAAGGTAAAATGTTCATATTGACCACAAAACAGGCCTTATCTGCCCACAAAGCAGAACTTTATTGCCATGTAGTGCACAAGAACCTTACGGTATGCACAACTCAAATCTGAACATACGGCTTTTAGTTAAGATTTTATTTAATTATAAACTGCCTATCTCTTCTATATTTGGTAAAGCGTTTTAGCATTTACAAGGAGGTATAGAGACACTGACTCAGAAATTCTACCTCTACATACAATTTTATGACTGAACCAGTGACAGACAAGTATACAAACCCCTATTTGTGCAACTCTGTTTATTATTCATGCTGTATTAATGACAATTTAGGGGGCCGGTGTTGTAGTGCAGTGGGTAAAGCCCCCGCCTGCAATCCCGGCACCCCAAATCATGTTTGTGTTCCAGTTGCTCCACTCCTGATCCAGCTCCCTGCTTATGGCCTAGAAAATATAGAAGAAGAGGGCCCAAGTACTGGGGCTCTTGCTACCCATGTAGGAAACCCGGATGAAGCTCCTGGCTTCAGCTTAATTGGAAGCTGCTCAACCTTGAAGAATCCATCTTTGCCCTACATCCCCTGACCCTTGCCTTTCCTTTTCTTTTTAACCACAAGAATATCCTTAAAAAGGAGAAGCAAAAGATTAAAATGTTTCCCTCAAAAGTTCATGGGCCTGTAAGAAAAGAGAAATTAAGGCAAAATATGTAAGCAGGTAAAGCCATCGCCTCTGACACCAGCATCCCGTAGGGGCAGCAGCTTGAGTCCTGGCTGCTGCACTACCAATCCAGACTACTGCTCATGGCCTGGAAAAAGCAGAAGATGGTCCAAGTGTTTGGGCCTCTGCCATCCATGTAGGAGACCTAGATGAAGTTCCTAGTTCCTAGCTTTACTCAAACTCAACCCTGGCTTATGGCCATCTGGGGAGTGAACTAGCAGATGGAAGACCTCTCTCTGCCTCTCTTTCTCTGTAACACTGACTTTCAAATAAATAACTAACTACATGTATATAAGGGGGCTGGCGCTGTGGTGAAGTGGGTAAAAACCACCACCTGCAGTACTGGCATCCCATATGGGTGCAGGTTCAACTCCCAGCTGCTCTACTTCCAAGCCAGCTCTCTACTATGGCCTGGCAAGGTAGTGGAGGATGGCCTAAGTCCTTGGGCCCCTGTACCTGCGTGGGAGACCCATAGAAACCTCCAAGTTCCTCACTTCAGATCGGCCCAGCTCAAGCAGTGGCAGCTATTTGGGGAGTGAGCCAGTGGATGGAAGACCTCTCACTCTCTGCCTCTCTATAACTGAGCCTTTCAAATAAATAAAATGAATCTTAAACAAACAAAAAAACTAGACAAGACACAAACATAAACAGTGATACTCAAAGCCTTTAGTTATAGAGCACAGTTCTAATGACCACGCATTTGGGAGGAAAGGAGAAAAGTGGGAGGAAAACATAAATACCTCAATCCTACGTTTTGCTTTGTCATAAGCTCTTTCTTCTTTAGTTCGATCATCATCAGAGTCATATTCAGAGTCTGAGCTCATGTCTTTACTTGGCTTTTTATCTAACGTCTTCCCTGAATCTTTCTCATCTGATAGCTTTTCATCTTCCTCATCACCTTCACTGCCTTCACTTTCTCCTTCCTCTTCCTCTTCTTCTTCACTTTCTTCTTCCTCCTCCTCTTCCTCCTCATCCTCTTCTTCCTCTTCAGGATTTTCTTCTACTTCTATATGAACGGTGTTTTCTTTAAGAAAAGTAAATACAGATTTTAAAATGAATGAAATTGAACATTATAGACCAGTATCAAGCAATAAAGTGCAAAAGGAAAATATTGGAAGTGTGCTAATTAAAGCAACATTTTAAATGCATAAAAATGCAATGTGTTTGCCAATGTGCTATAATGAAGACTGTCATTTAACATTAAAACTGAAGGCAGTAATCCATGGTAAGTTACTAACAAAGAAAGGCATTACTGAGCCAGAATCCAAAGGAGCGTATATACCCAAGGAGGTGAGTACAATATTGACTAACACTTCCCCTCTTGGTTATTTGCTGATTCTGGAAAATGTCTCACTGCTGGAGAACAGGTATGGAGTCTGGGCTTAAGCATTGAGAGGGTTGTGTCTAGGAGGGGAGACACAGTTACTGCTTGGTAAAGTTCTAAAGAGCTGTACCCCAAGAGTAAGCATGAATAATGAACAGTACCTCCCTATTATTGGCAGATCACATTCAGAACCTCTCAGTTATAAATCTAGAATAAGATAATTTTACATTGCTAGTTTATACAACTCCTATTGAAGTAGTTAGAAATTGCTCTGGTGAAAAGATATCCTTGATCTCAAATTATTTCTACAGTTCTGTATGAAAAACATACAGTCCAATATACATAAAATGCACTGTGGTGCAGTGGATTAACCTGTTCCATGAGATGCCAGCATCACATATGGGTGCCAGTTCATGTCCCAGCTGCTACACTTCTGATCCAGCTACTTGCTAATCTGCCCGGAAAACAGAACATGGTAGCCCAGGTGCTTGGAGCCCTGGCAATTATGTGGGAGTCCTGGTTTTAGCCTGCCCAGCCCCAGCTGTTATGGCCATCTGGGGAGTAAACCAGCAAATAGAAGCTCTCTCTGTAACTCTGCCTTTCAAATAAATAATCTCAATAAATAAACAAACAAGCCACATGAGGAAACTCAGCATTTAAGACACCTGAAAGGCTACAACATATTCAAGTTATGAAATCAAAAATTAATGACATAGAAGTCAAGAGAAACAATTCAAAATTACTATAGAGAACTAACAGGTGGAAAATATAGGAACAGGGTAACAAAGAAACAGTTTAGAAAGTCTATCACAATCACAATGGGAAACTTTCAGGGAGATAAAGCTCCTAACATTATAAAATTGATCTAAAAACCGTAACTCATAAAGTCCTAGTAAGTAAAAAGAAACCTATCATGAGTAGATTTCAACAAAACTGATGAGAACCACACACACATGAGAAGTCAAGCTGATACTTCATCTTTCAACTAAAACAATGATAGCCAAGACAAAAGAATAACAACTTCAAAGTATTAAATAAAATTTCAACTGAGAAATCTTCACTCAGTAAATACATTTAAGAATAAGCATGAAATACAAATATTTTTAGAAAATAAAAAATGGAACATCTCACCAGCAGATTCATGCTAAAGGAAATTTGAAAAGATGTTCTTCAGGGACTAAATGATCTCAAATGGAAGGTCAAAGACCCAGGAAGAAAGAAGCACAGCAAAGTGACTGAGAATGTGGGTAAATGTCAGTAAATAGCAACTGTATAAAAAAAGAACAAGCCAATGCAAAATTCAAAATGAAGAACAACAACAAAGACCAGTGACCTTCCAGGGGTCTCCAAAACTTATGGGAAGTGTACATTGTGAAGTACGTATGGATTTCATTATTTTTGCACTAAACTTATCTTGGAATTCAACTACTTTTCCACAAACTTTCTGAGGTGCCCACATATAAACTTAAAGTTTAGAGAATGTTCAAAAGTATTCCAGAGTCTTGGCATCGTCTGACAAGGGAGTAACATCAGACAGTGTTAGTACAAAGGTGCATGTTAAAAATCTCTTCGAGTTCCTGCTTCTGATCCAGCTCCTTGCTAATTCTCTTAGAAAGGTAGAGTAGGATGGCCCAAACACGCGGGCACCAGCAACCCACATGGGAAACCTGGATGAAGTTCTCAGCTAATACCGTTGGTCTGGACCACAGTCATTTGGGGAGTGAATCTGTGGATGGAAAAGAGCTGACTCTTCCTGTCACTCTGCCTCTCAAATAAACAGTAATTTTTTTTTTTTAAGAGAGCTGAAGGTCTTGAAATCAACGCCTTTCTAAAACAAAAGGCACAGAGAATTTGCCCTGCTATGTTTTCCCTCCCTTTGGTCACGTGAGAACACAGTGTCCCCCACTCTGGATGATACAGCAACAAGAGGTCACCTCTGATGCAGACAATAGTTCTTCCCACACACGAAGCTGGCACACTTATCTTGGACTCTCCAGTTTCCTAACTGACGGAAATAAATTTCTTTTCTTTGTAATTACGAGTGGTAATTTGCTACAATAATACAAAAAAGGAAAATGCTATTTAAAAACAGAGAAAGTAACAAAGATAGAATAAGATGACATAACTCAAAGCTGACATAGCTATATGAATATCAGAAATAGTAGACTTTAAGGGCAAAGGGAATCGCTAGATAAATGAATTATTTATCCATCATAAAAGAGTAGGAGTTAAGTTGTCAGAAAGATGTAAGTTTGTACTCACCTATTGAAAGCAAAAATTGACAGAACTCAGGGAGAAACAGACTACCTACAATCATGCTGGGAGACCTTAACACACTGGTCTCAGTAACAAAAAAAAGCACATTGGAAAAAAAAAATCTCAAAATAAAAGATTTGAACAAAATGATCAGCAAACCTAACTGAAGTTATCAAGGCCCTCAAATGATGCAGAATATAAACACTTTCCAATCACATATGAAACATTTACAGTAATTGACATATTGTCAGCTACAGGCACGCTGTAAAGATTTCAAATAACAGGAATGAATGACCACAATGAAGTAAAACAAAGGTAGTCCAAAAATTCTCACTTTTCTATATTAAGTAATACACTGTTAGTTATAGTTAAAAGTTAATGTATCAAAATGGAAATTAGAAAATAACAAATTACGGGGCTGGTGCTGTGGCGCAGCAGTTTGAAGCCCTGGCCTGAACCGCGGGCATCCCATATGGGCGCCGGTTTGAGTTCCAGCTGCTCCATTTCCAATTCCGCTCTCTGCTATGGCCTGAGAAAGCAGTAGAAGATGGCAAAGTCCTCAGGCCCCTGCACCCATGTGGGAGAACCAGAGGAGGCTCCAATCTCCTGGTTTCGAACTGGCACAGCTCTGGCCGTGGAGGCCATCTGGGGAGAGAACCAGCAGACAGAAGACCTCTCTCTCTGTCTCTACTTCTCTAACTCTGCCTTTCAAATAAACAAAATAAGTATTTAAAAAAGAAAAAGAAAAAAAAAGAACAGATCAGAATTTGTGGATTTTGGCTAAAGTTATACTTGAAGAAAAATACAGAATTTTAAAATCAAGGATTGGCCGGCGCCGCGGCTCACTAGGCTAATCCTCCGCCTGCGGCGCCCGCACACCGGGTTCTAGTCCCGGTTGGGGTGCCGGATTCTGTCCCGGTTGCCCCTCTTCCAGGCCAGCTCTCTGCTGTGGCCAGGGAGTGCAGTGGAGGATGGCCCAAGTCCTTAGGCCCTGCACCCGCATGGGAGACCAGGAGAAGCACCTGGCTCCTGGCTTCGGATCAGCGCAGCGCACCGGCCGCGGCAGCCATTGGAGGGTGAACCAATGGCAAAGGAAGACCTTTCTCTCTGTCTCTCTCTCTCACTGTCCATTCTGCCCATATGATAAACATAAATAAAAGAAAACACATAAAATGGCCGGTGCCGCGGCTCAATAGGCTAATCCTCTGCCTTGTGGCGCCGGCACACTAGGTTCTAGTCCCGGTTGGGGCGCCGGATTCTGTCGCGGTTGCCCCTCTTCCAGGCCAGATCTCTGCTGTGGCCAGGGAGTACAGTGGAGGATGGCCCAAATGCTTGGGCCCTGCACCCCATGAGAGACCAGGATAAGTACCTGGCTCCTGCCATCGGATCAGCGCGGTGCACCGGCCGCAGCGCGCCAGCCGCGGCGGCCATTGGAGGGTGAACCAATGGCAAAAGGAAGACCTTTCTCACCTGTCTCTCTCACTGTCCACTCTGCCTGTCAAAAAAAAAAAAAAAAAAAAAAAAATCACATAAAATCAAGGATTGGGAGAAAAGCCTGAAAAATCAGAGTCAACATGATCCTGAAGTTAAGAATAGGATATCAGGGGCTGGCATTGTGGCAAAGGAGGTAAAGCCACCACCCGTGATGCCAGCATCCCATATGCGCACTGGTTCGAGACCCACCTGCTCCACTTCCAATTCAGCTCTCTGCCAATGTGCCCGGGAAAGCGGCAAAAGATGGTCCAAGTGCTTGGGCCTCTGCACCCACATGGGACCTCTCAAAGAAGCTCCTGACTCTTGGTTTTTGCCTTTTCATTACATTTTAAGTTATCAGGACTTTTTGTAGACCAACTTTAGTAACAACCCTATTTATAACATCATCACTCTGAAAAAAACAGAAATTCTGAATCTTAAGTAGTTCTTAACAAACGATGTTCAAATATGCATTTATTCATAAAATGAAGATCCACATGAAGATATGAAAACGATGGCAATGGAGAGAGCAGACTGGTCCCTATCCCCAAGAGTGTCTACATAACCTTCATAATCAGGTGACTACTCATTTAAATATATAAATCTCTTAATAATCACTGGATTTATATTTTATGCTTATGAGTGATTCACCTTTTTCTCTTTCCTCATCACTGGCCATAGCTTCCCAATCATCCAGTCCAGCATCTTCAGCTTCTTCTTCTTCTTCTGTAAACATAAATGTTCATTAAACAAATAAAAATTATTTAGAAACATGAGATTTCTTTTGGAAAAAAATAGGAAATTATGCTCTGACAAATATTGTTTTAATTATGCAAAAAAATGTATATAACTTGGTTATCTTAGGAGCTATCTTCTCAAAAAAGACAGCATGCTATAAGCTCCTGTTACTTAATTCTTCACCATTTTCTACTTCTATCAATACATCATATAAAGCAACTCAGATTTCGTATTTGAAAAATTAACATATTGAAATCCATCCAATGAAATGTTCCTCTAGATCTTGAAAAGGTACATGAATGCACTAAGTCCTAAGTGAAACTTTATATATATCTTCTTTTTCAACTTTCAACTCATATAGAATTTTATTTTTTGTTTAGCTTTTACAAACACATCCAAATCCCGCCTAGATTCCAAAGTTGAAGGTACAAAGCTACTGCCACCACTCCAGTTCAAAATAAAACAGAATGCTATTAAAAAACATAAAATGCTGTGTTTATAATTTCAAAATAGGTAGAAAGCTGAAATTTTGAGTGCTGTTTCACTATTAAAAACCCTAATATTGTAATAATAATACTCTTTCTATTAAAGTCCAAAGAAGCAAACTTATTCTTGCATAAAGATGAGAGTGGGACATGGGTTATCTGGTTCCACGTAATTATTATTTACCACTAAGCCTGGATAAATCAACTTGAGGAGAAAATGGGACTCAGACAGGCATACAAAATACCACTCTAAACAGCATTTCTTACTGGTGTTACAAATAGAACCTAAAATAGTGGACTGTTACTCAGTAGACCAACTTGAATTTCTCTAATTTTATCTTATTAATGCTAAGCCGAGGTCTATTCAAGTTAAATGATTCTATTTATTTAGAAAAGGAGGAAGAAAGGAAAACAAAGTATCAATGATATTCACCAGTGTGAATGATTCTTGATATTCTCTAAAGCTATTTCCACTCTTGATCCCAGTTTTAAACCTTGAGATTCTAATGAATTAGAAACATACATTTAGCTTGCTCCAGCTCTCCTATCAATATCTAGTCTCATAAATTACAATAATGTTTAATTAAAAAAAAAAAAAAGCCAGACATTTTCCTCAAACCTCAAAACACAAAATGAATAACTTTAGTCTTCTAATTGTAAGGATTTTTTAAGTTAACTTTTGTGGTTCTTAAGAAGTTCTAATTGGTTGGTGCCGCAGCTCACTAGGTTAATCCTCCACCTGTGGTGCCAGCACCCCGGGTTCTAGTCCAGTACAGGGCGCCGGATTCTGTCCCAGTTGCTCCTCTTCCAGTCTAGCTCTCTGCCTGGCCCAGGAAGGCAGTGGAGGATGGCCCAAGTGCTTGGGCCCTGTACCCACATGGGAGACCAGGAGGAAGCACATGGCTCCTGGCTTTAGATCAGCGCAGTGCACCAGCTGTAGCAGCCATTTGGGGGGTGAACCAACGAAAGGAAGACCTTTCTCTCAGTCTCTCTCTCTCTCACTGTCTAACTCTGCCTGTAAAAAAAAAAAAAAAGTTCTAATTAAAAATAATTGTTTGCTTCTGAAGCATTAACTTTAGGCCTTCTTTGAAATTTCTGACCCACAAATGAAAACACCAGAAGAAAATCCAAAACTTTCTATCCTCTCTAGAGGACATTTCACTGACACTACTAAAAAGCATAAAATTGACTGAGGTCGCACCTGGATACTTAAAAGTTGAAATGAAAAGAAAGGAAGAAAAGTCACCCAAACAGACACCTACTTGGTTTCCCCATACTATTTAACGAGAACTAAGATTATGACACATTAAGACTATTTGATAGGAATTAACTGGTGAATGCTACTGACCTGGTTCAGCAGGAGGTGGGGTATCTTCTTTTTCTTGTCCTCCTTGTTCTACAACTACAGTAGCACTTAATTCCACTGGTTCAGAAACTAATAAAAGGGCAGACATCAAGTTAGTAATGTTTTAGCATAATAATTTCTGTTAAGATACTCTGTTAAGTACTGAATAAAATAATCAGCAGTGCAAGCCTATTTCTTCAGTAAGTTCAGATAAGGCTCAACTATCAGGCATGTTTACAGGAAACTACCTTTTCTGTTCAAGGCATAATATAAAAACCACAGAAGGCTGAGAAGGAAACAACAAGACTGATAGCTTTACTTTTTAAAGTTAACAATGTTATTCAGAAAGTAGGACTCAGATTTTTCAAACTCAACTACTTTTTCCATTAGCCTGACATTCGAATCAGGTGAGAATGATGGCAATAATAATAAGCAAGGTATAGAACTAAGTTTCAAAATGCCATTCTGAGTTATTTCCTTTTTAAAACACATTCTGTTTTGAAGGTTATGCGGAAAAGGCAAACAAAATAGTTTCTAAATCAGAAGCTATTTTATACACAAACCTTCTTTATTTTCCATCTGCTGTGGTATTTTTTTCTTCTTTTTATCTTCATAAATTGGCCTTTTCTTTGGCAAAGAGTCTTTTGACGGCACTTCAACACCTGTGGGATTAAAAATAGAAAAACTCAGGCTTATTATACTTGCATGTCACCTGATACATTATTTAAAAAAGATAACACTTCCTTTACCTGAAAGCTATACCCTAAAATATAAGAGTAATCAATGAAAAAAATCTATTTATTTATTTTTGATTTCTTGCCAGGCAGTTAGACAGTGAGAGAGACAGAGAGAGTTACAGACAGTGAGAGAGACAGAGAGAAAGGTCTTCCTTCTGTTGGTTCACTCCCTTAATGGCCTCTACAGCCGGGGCTGCGCCAATCTGAAGCCAGGAGCCTGGTACTTCCTCCCGGTCTCCCATGCGGGTGCAGGGACCCAAGCACTTAAGCCATCCTCCACTGTAACTCCCGGGCCACAGCAGAGCTGGACTGGAAGAGGAGCAACCGAGACTAGAACCTGGGGTGCTGGCGCCGCAGGCGGAACATTAGCCAAGTGAGCCACGGCACTGGCCAAAAAACCTTATTTTTATTATAATTTATATATCTTATTTTTTTTTCAAGATTTGAAAAGTGGAGTTAAAGAGGCAGAGATGGAGAGAAAAGTCTTCCATACACTAGTCCACTCCCCAAATGGCCACAACAACCAGAGCTAGACTGATCTGAAGCCAGGATCCTGGAGCTTCTTCAAGGTCTCCCACGTACCTGCAGGGGCCTAAGGACTTGAGCCATCTTCCACTGCTTTCCCAAGCCATAGCCAAGAGCTGGATCGTAAGTTGAAAAGGCCAGGACTTGAACCGGCACCCATATGGAATGCCGGCACTGCAATTCCATCATAATATGTGAGAGATGGGCCTACTACTTTATTATTTGGTTTATCTAGTTATTCCATTTTCTGTTCCTCTTTTCCTCATTTCCTGCATTTTCTTTCAGGTTAGTATTCCACTTTAACTTATAAACTGATTTTTCAGCTTATTCATACCTGATCTTAAAACAGTATACTGGGAATCGATATTTTACCTGGCATTGAGCCACTAAGAAGTCAGGGTCCTGATCACTAGTTTGTATCATAGTTCAGTTCTAGAAGCTTTTACTATACTTCCATGGTGAGCCTGAGATACATGTTACTTCACAAAACAAGACTTTCTTTTGGATCTCTCCAAAATCCCTGCACACTCTGCATCCCAAGAACTCCTTTTTAGTTTCTCTGCCAAAAAGGTGAGATTCTCCGTTTTATGCGATAAGTTGTGGCAAAATTCTACACAAGTAGAGCCATCATTTGGCTAAACCATCAAAAAAAGGGGAGGGGGGCAAAATAACTAACAGGGAGTCACCTCAAACTTTTTAAGATAACAGAGACCTCTTCCCTTGGTTCCTATGGCCAAAGTGAAGTAACACAATGAGTTTGCACCACTCTAATGTTATGTTTATCCAACAATGTATTCAAAAATGATCAAAAGAATTTAAAAATTTAACAGCTGAAAAGGAAATTTTTAAAATTCTTCCCATCCCCAAAAGACCTCCTGCATTAACAGTACAAATTCCATAAATTTGGGGATATAAATGACTGATACAGAACACAAAATTAAATCTGCCTGTCAAAAAAAAAAAAAAAGCCAAATCAGAACCTCATTAGAAAGGCTGGTGGTAAGTGCTACCACTAACCAATCCTTTATCTTCCAGAGTTAGGCATTTCCAGAAATCTCACAGGAATACCAAGAAGAAACTTCCTCAGTAATAAAATTCGTCATCATGTATGTAAGTACCAGCCATAATAATGATTAAATAATGATCAAACCAACTGTTTTGTCTGAATGCTCAAATTTAAGGACTGATGACAAGATATTTTGCCTATAGGCAAATAAATAGCACCAGAAAATCTGCGGCACATTTCCGAGTAATGTGTGCTGATCTCTATCAAGAGATTTTGGTCTTCAAAAAATACAGTAAAATGACATTCACAAATGTATTGTTTTCACTTCATAGTTCTAGGGGTTCACAGTCCAAGATCGAACAACCCCATCACTGTCAGTCTGATGATGGCAATGGATCACAGAGAGCATGCAGAGGAAGGATCACGTGGTGAGCCAGGAAGCTGAGGTAAGCAGGGAGCAGCACCCACTCTTCATAATCTTGTTACCATGACTGGATCCTAAAGACTTCTACCTTAACAACCAATACAACCCAATCCAATCATATCAAAACTCCATCTTCAGATACCATAACAGGATCAAATTCTACCCTTAATCCAATAAACTAACACTCTGTGGAGACCAAGCTTTTAACATCTAGGTTTTTGGTGAACACCCAAAATATTACCTAAATTATAACAAATCTTATACAAGAATAAAACTTTCAGGTTGGGCATTTGGTTTAGCAGTTACTGTGCCAGTTGGGAAGCCAGCTTCCTACATTGGAGTGCCTGGGTCCAATACGAAGCTCTGCCCCCTATTTTTGCTTCCTGCTAACATGTGTCCTAGGAGGTAGCAGGTGGTCCTCAATTAGTTGGGTACCTGCTACCCACTTAGCGTGAGACATAGACTGAGTTCCCAGCTCCAGGTTTCAGCCTAGCTTAGTTCCGGCCATTGTTGGTATCTGAGGAGTGAGTGAGCAGACAGAGTATCTCTCTCCAACTTTCAAATCTCTCAACTTTCAAATAAAATTTTCTGAAATCTGAGTACTATGTTTCTCTGCATTTACTGCTCCTAGCCAAACATAACTGCGAGGACTTCAAAAAGGTCATGGAAAATGAAATTAAAGCTAAGTTTACTTTGTTGCAGAAAATTTTGAAACCTGTGCATCATTTCTTCATAATATACATTTTAATATGGTTTTCAAAGACGCCTCGTATCCATTTAAAAATTTCCAACAAAAATAAACTTCTTTCATTTCTATTTTCCAGAAGTTTTTGAAGTGCCCTAACAACATATAATAAAGAGTCAGTCAGATAAACCAGTTTGAACTTCAGCTCTTGGATGCTGGGCAAGCTATTTAACTTGTCTGATTCACCATTTCCTCTTCTATATCGTGGGAGTAAAAATATGTATAAGATTTTTATAAGGAAAAAATAAGCAATGTCAAAGTTTTATTACAGCATAAGTTATACACTAAGCACACAATAAATGATAGCCATTACTATAATTATTAGCCTAAGTACCAAAATGACAATATATCAAAATCTGTAGACTACAGGGACAGGAAACTAATCGAGGTCAAGTAGAGCAAAAATACCATTTTAAATTATCAGATCCCATCAAAAGCAATTAATTGTATGCCCAGATTATGGTCTCAAAACACCATGTACCACAAAAATCAATCAAGGCTCCCTAGGCAAAATAGTTGATTCCAGCCTGAGACAGCAAATTAAGTAGTCAAGCTGCTAGATTTAAATCATAAAAGGGGGACTGACACTGTGGCATAGTGGGTAAAGCTACTGCCTGCAGTGCCAGCATCCCATATGGGTGGCGGTTTGAGTCCTGGTTGCTCCATTTTAGATCCAGCTCTCTGCTAAGGCAGGGAAAACAGTAGAAGATGGCCCAAATCCTTGGGCCCCTGTACCCACTTCGGTGATCTGGAAGTGTCAGGTTCCTGGCTTTGGATCAGCTCAGCTCCAGCTGCTGTGGCCGTATGGGAAGTAAACCAGTGGATGGAATCTCAATCAATCAATCAATCAATCAATCTCTCTCCTCTCCCTCCTTCCCTCCCTCCCTCCCTTTCTGCCTTTCAAATAAATAAATCAAAAAATTTTTTTAAGGGATAGATAAGTGCTTGTGTAATCACTAGATTCAACAGCACAAAATAATGCAATTAAACAAATTCCGAATATGAGAAATTCTAGCCAAGTATCTAATACTGTCAATAAATAAATGTCATCCAAAAAATGGGGGCTATAGGAAGAAAAATTGTTTGTGAGGGAGAAACATATCAACCAAATGCAAGGTGTGGATCTCGTGCAGATCCTGACCTGAACTAACCAGCTGTAAGACACTAAAATATTGGAGAGAGAGAGAGAGGTCAGATGATAACAAAAGACTAATCTTAAAAAATGTGATATGTATTATACTTACAATAAAAAACAAAACATCTTTATCTGATAGATACACACTGTAGTACTTGGGGGCCAAAAAAAAAAAAAAAAAGACAGTATGCCATCTAGGATTACCTTTTTTCCTGAGAGGAAAAAAAAAGTGGGCAGGGGAAACCAAAAAATGACAAATGTAGATGCTGTTGAAACTGGGTACCTCAATACTCATTTTATTATTATTTCCATTTTTGTTCCAAAAGAAAAAAGTTACAGAAGACATATTATCATTCACACAAAATTTTTGTCCTAGAATAGAAATTATCTTCTTAAACAATAAAATTAATCATCTCTTCCTTCCTTTTATTGGACATTTTCACAGGAATTCTCCTTCTAATTCAGTTCAAGTCTTCTTCTGAACACTGCAGAAATGTAACAGAGAAGCTCCCACACCGTACAGTTCCCTAAGAGCACCACTTACCCTGAGCTTGCAGGAGTTTAAGGGTAGCTTCAGCTCTGGCTCTAGCTTCTCTCTGGGATTTAGTTAAAAGTTTCCCTTCTTTTTTCAAGCGTTCTTTTCTTTCTTTTTCTTTTTGCTTTTTCCTTTCTCTTTTTTCTTGTTCCAATCGTTCCTATAAATGAGTACATTCAAGAAATTCTATTAATGAAATATATAAGCAACTCAAGCATCAATCAAAGCTCTTGAGATAAAAAGTAGATTTCAAATAAAAAAAAATTTTTTTTATTTTTTTGACAGGCAGAGTGGACAGTGAGAGAGAGAGAGACAGAGAGAAAGGTCTTCCTTTTCCGTTGGTTCACCCTCCAATGGCTGCCGCGGCTGGCGCACCGCGCTGATCTGAAGCCAGGAGCCAGGTGCTTCTCCTGGTCTCCCATGTGGGTACAGGGCCCAAGGACTTGGGCCATCCTCCACTGCACTCCCGGGCCACAGCAGAGAGCTGGACAGGAAGAGGAGCGACCGGGACAGAATCTGGTGCCCCGACTGGGATTAGAACCTGGTGTGCCGGAGGATTAGCCTATTGAGCCGTGGTGCCAGCCGAAAATATTTCAATGTTGTACACGATTATTAACGTTATAGGGGTGGCATTGTGGCACAGCGAGTTAAGCCTCCACCTGCGATGCCAGCATCCTATAGGTTCATGTCCTGACTGCTTCACTTCCAACCCAGCTCCTTGCTAACGTGCCTGGGAAAAGCAGAAGATGGCTCAAGTGGTTGGACCACTGTTCACCCATAGGAGTCCCAGATTAAACTCCTAGCTTCAGCCTGGCTCAGCCCCAGTCACTGTGGCCACTTTGGGGAGTAAACTAGTGGATGGAAAATCTCCCTCTCTCTGGGCCGGCATTCTGGCACAGCGGGTTGGGCTGCTGCCTGCAACACCAGCATCCCATTTTGGTATTGGTTCCAGTCCTAGCCACTCCACTTTTGATCTAGCTCCCTATTAATGTGCTTGGGAAAGTAGTGCAGGATGGCCCAAGCACTGGGCCCCTGCACTAATGTAGGAAACCTGGATGAAGCTCTTGGCTTCTGGTTTCAGCCTGGCCATGCCTAGCTGATTCGGCCATCTGGAGAGTGAACCAGCAGATGGAAGATCTCTTTGACTCTTCTTCTCTTTGTAATTCTTTCAAATAAGTAAATAAATCTTAAAAAGAAAATCTGTCTCTCCCTAACTTCTGACTTTCAAATAAATGTCTTTATTTAAAGAACTTGTCTGTACATGAAATAAAAATAAGATTTTCTATACCTCTTAATCTTATTCACATCAGAACAATATAACTGAATTCCCATACAACTGAAATTTTGAGAGTCAGAAGGTTAGAGGTATTTTATAGAAAAGAGATTTTAAGTTAAGCACAGTATCAATTTGGCAACTTTATGAAAACATACCTCTTCTTTGCGCTTGGCTTCTAATTCTTCAAGCCGCTTTATCCGTTCTTCCTCTTCTCTTTTCTGTCTTTCTTCTTCTTCTTTAAGCTTAGCCAGAGCTTCTTGCATAGCTTTAACAGTGGCTTTGCTAGGTCCTTTTTTCTTCTCTTTCTCTTTCTCTTCCTTTTCCCCTTTCTTTTTCTTCTTATCTTTTTTCTTTTTGTCTCCTTCATTGTCATCTAACAAAAAAAAAGAGAAGTGTTTAAGAAAAAAAATGGTTATTTCCTATGACATGATGGGCAAAGACCATCCAGAACTCAAAGACTATAAAGGGCTATGGCTGATGCTAGCAGCAGGCTAGGGTCTCAAGGCATGAAGGTGTCCTGAGCACCTAAGTACCCAAAGCTGCTGAGCAGCTCACCTGATGGCGCTCGTCTGAGGGTTCCCGACAAACATCACGAAGTAGAAGGAGCCCATCAGCAGGGAGAGGGCAATACGCTACATCAGGGATCTCTTCATTTTTGGCACCTGAACAGAGTGGCTGGCATGTGAAATACTTGTCTGAAGTTCCAATGAACAGAATGAACTAATTCCCATCTAAGTTCTGTATGAGTTTTTACTTCCGTAAAATGGAGATGAGAATTATGTCTAGAGTAAGAGGATATTAGGAGGATAAAATACAAAAATATAACTAATCTTCAAGAACTCTGAAGAATTCAAAGTTATGAAGCAGAGAGTAGGCATTTGGTGCAGAGGTTAAGACACAGTTGGGACCCCTGCAGTCCATACTGGAGCACCCAACTCCTAACATCAGCTTGCTAAACGAAGGCAGATCCTGGGAGGTAACAACATACATCAAGTAACTGGGTTCCTGTCATCCATGTGGGAGACTTGGATTGAGCTCCCAGGTCCAGGCTTCAGCCTAGCCCAGACTTGGTCATTAGGTGCATTTGGGAGTGAACCAGAGAATAGGAGCAAGTGCAGGCACTCTCCCTGCCTTTCTAATAAGTGAACAAAAATTTAAAAAAATAAAAATTATGAAGCTACTTTCATGGTTTCTATTCAAAGATGAACAATAAAAATCCTAGTGAGCGAAAGAGGCCAATTTTCCCATTAAAGGTTTTCTTTCCAAAGAAAAACAATTCTCAAGCTTAAGAATACAACTTTTTCAAAAAGTTCACGGAAAATGGCTAAGTTCCTTTTAAAAAATGCATTTTCCATGCATTTCTTTAAGATCCATAATATACAGATCTCACAAAGTATTTTGCACCAAAATAAATGTATCTTTTAATTCCATTTTCCACAAGCTTTCTAAAGTTCTGTTGTACAGTCTTTTTTTTTCTTCTATATTTTATTTATTTGAGAGGCAGAGCTACAGGAAGGAGGAAGGAGAGACAGAGAGAAAGATTTTCCATCTGCTAGTTCACTCTCCAAATGGCCACAATGGTGGAACTGGGCCAAAGCCAGGAGCCAGACCCTCCTCTGAGTCTCCCATATGGGTGCAGGGGCCCAAGCACTCCACCATCTTCCCCTGCTTTGCCAGGCCATAAGCAGAGAGCTGGATGGGAAGAGCAGAAGCTGGGACAGGAACTGGCACCCGTATGGGATGCCAGTGCTACTGGCAGAGGCTTAGCCCACTACCCCCCAGAGTTGGCCCTCACTGTATAGTCTTTACATGCAGATACAGTCCTTAACTATTTTCATTCTAAAGAAAGGAAGGAAATTAGCTAGAATGCTTCTTTTTCTTAATTGGCTCTGGTACAAAAACTTGGCTTATGTTGCTTTAAAGACTAATTCATTTCAGCCTAAGTTTGTTGATCTCACAGGTTCAACTGGCCTTTTGAGAACAGGGAAGAGGAGTGAGTTGCGGCATGGCAGGTTAGGCCATCTCCTGCTTCTCTGGAAGCTGGTGTCAGAGCGCAAGTTCAAGTCTCTGCTACTCTGCTTCCCTTCCAGCCTCTACTTGTATAAACAGGAAGACAGCAGAGGAGGGCCCATTAGGATAATATTCCTGGCTTCAGCATGTCCAGAACCAAGCTGTTACAGCCTTTTGGGGATGAAAGATCTGTCTCTCCCACACCCCTTCTTGTGCAGTAGCTCTTTCAAGTGAATAAATCTTTAAAGGAAGGAAGAAAGAAAAAAGCAGAAGAATTCAATGATACTATCTGACACCAAGTCATAAGAATAAATTTTTCATTTGGCAACTTCCAGTCTATCGACAGCAAAGAAAGTTTGCAGTGAAATTCCATAAAACGTCCAACCTGTACCCAAGCCACTTGAATGATGTTTCATACTATGCATATAAATGTTTAACCATGAAAATCAAGTCAAAGAGTACTTCTATGTATTTTTTAAAACATTTCCTACATTCAAGTATTTCTGTAGCCAAGGACAAACAACAAGGGGGCACAAGGTCACCACTCAGGTATCAGTCAGAAGCCTCGGCTCCTTCCTCTGCATCACTAACCTTCTGCAGCTGCCAGAGTCTCTCCTCTCTCCTCAGAGGCAGGGGCTGCTCCAGCATCAAGGACCACTTTGGATTTTACAGCTTCCTCTTCAGATTTCTTCTGAGATTCTTTTTGTTTGCTTTGATCTTTTTTACCTGATTCTAACTCTTCTTTCTCTTTCAGCTTCCGCAGTTTCGCTTTCTCTTCATCTCGTTTTTTCCTCTCACGCTCTTTCTTTTCTGCCTTCTTTTGAGCCACTGTCTTAATTTTGAAGGAGGAATCGTCATCTTCATTCCCACTCTCTATATTAGGACCCGGCTTGTTCTTTTGGTTTTTCTTCTGTCCTTTTTTAGACTGCAAGAATTCATCTGATTCATCGGCACTTTCACCTGAAGAATTCACCCTGGAACGCTGTTTAATCCTTTTACTGTTATCCTCATCCTCTTCTGACCCATCCCACTTCTTATTTGACTTTTGAGCTTTCCCTTTAGGTTTTTTGGAAAGTTTATTAAAATCATCATCATCATCACTCCCAGAGTACATTTCCACTTTTGCTTTTGCAGTCTTTTTAGATTTTGAATCTTTATCTTCTGATCCTTCACTATCATTATCATCAAAACTTTGTTTTTTGCCCTTCTGTCCTTTCTTTTTTTTATCTTGTTTTGAAGTGGACTCATCTTCATTGTTTTCTGTTGGCTAAAAAAATGTCCACTATTAGAACATTAACAACTGGATTTCATTCCTTAAAAATAACCGAAGGGCAGGTATTTAGGCTAGGGATTAAGACACCAGTTAAGACGTCCACATGCCACATGGGTTCAATTTCCATTTCTACCTCCCAACTCCAGCGTCCTGCTAACACAACCCTAGAAGGCAGACATGATGGCTCAAGTAACTGGCTTCCTGCCACCTATATGGGAGACCTGGAGTGAGTTCCCAGTTCCCAGCTTCACCCCTACCAGCAATTAAGGGTATCTGGGGAGTGAACCAGTGGATAGGAATGTGTGTGCTGTCTGCCTCTCAAATAAATAATTTTAAAAACAACAATTGAGGCCCCTCAGTCATGTGCTTCATTAAAAACATCTTAAACATTAAAAACACCTAAACATTTTAAAAACATCTCAAAAAAATTTTGTAATAAGGATTTTTAAATAAGAACAGAAAACTCATCCAAGCACCAGTGGCTACCATAAGCCTTGAAAGCATTTCATATTCAAGGCATTATACACTTCAGAATTCAGGCTCTATGAAACACTGATGAGTCTATTTACTAATTTCTTCAAAGGACATACGAAGCATAACAGAAGAATGGAAAACTTATCTATCACTTTCCCATTATTTTGAGGCTTATCCAAATTCAACAGGTGAAACAGAATACACAGAATTAGAGATAAAGATGAGAGATGTTTTTTCAGATATACCAATTTTATGAACAGGCAACATACCATGGGATACCTTTAGATTCCTGTACACAGCATCTTTATTATCTGTGAAAGATTTTAAAATACACTATTTTTCCTAATCTGGCATCAGATTTTATACAGACTTTGACATTGTGTACATTGCTCAAAAGTTTCTAAATACAACTCTCTAGACCAGTTCCCAGAAGCATGAATAGATTATCAAATATGAATGTGTAACAACAATCTGTCTTTCACCTTCACTGCAGCAGTTTCTCTGTCAGCTTTGATGCCTTGAGCTTCCAAGGATAATTCTTCCAGTTCTTTCAGGATATCATCTTCACTAGAAAAGGATTAAAATATATTTTGAACCACTGTAATAGTTGACTAGGTGAATCCAGTGCCCAAACTAATAAAAGTCAGATATATTAAAACACACTTACTCAAAGTCCTGCTTTTTTTTCTCCTTTTTCTTTTTCCCCTTTGATTTTTGAGGTTCCTGGTCCTTGGCAGCACCAGCTCCTTCTATTTCTGCAGCCAAGGCATCAAGATCAATGTCATCCTTGGCACTTAAATGAAAACAAAGACCCACATATTACTCAAGAATAAAATAATCTACCACATAGAATTACACAGAAATTTTTACCATTTTAACCCTTTCCAGGCATTAGCAGCACACTGTGTATCTGACTGGAATTATTGATAGAATGTAAAAGATAAAACAAGTTTTATTTTTATTTGTTTTTTTTTTTGACAGGCAGAGTTAGACAGTGAGAGAGAGAGACTGAGAGAAAGGTCTTCCTTTTTCTGTTGGTTCACCCCCAAAGTGGCCGCTTTGGCCAGTGCATTCAGGCCAGCGCGCAGTGCTGATCCGAAGCCAGGAGCCAGGCACTTCTTCCTGGTCTTCCATGCAGGTTCAGGGCCCAAGCACTTGGGCCATCCTCCACTGCATTCCCGAGCCACAGCAGAGACCTGGTCTGGAAGAGGAGCAACCAGGATAGAATCCAGCACCCTGACCGGGACTAGAACCCGGGGTACCAGCGCCGCAGGTGGAGGATTAGCCTAGTGAGCCACGGCACTGGCTAAAACAAGTTTTATTTCTTCTATATCAATAACACACCTAAATATTAGACCCTTGTCCACTGTTTTACTTCTAACTACAGAAACTGTACAGTGAGAAAGAACTTCAGAGAACACCTACTGTATTATCTCATTTTACCAACGAGAAGACTAAATGCCTTGGGAAAAGTTTGACTATGCAGTCAAGTCTGAATTAATAGGAATAGTTCACTGAATAAAACTCCTAAAACCAAAAACTCAGAACCAAATGTGCTCTTAATCTTTCATATTTCTGCTTTAAATTTGATTCCATTCTAAAATGCCCTCCTCTGCCCTAATATTACTTGAGGGTAAACAAAGCTATTTCCAATCAAAACCTATAGACAACAAAGGTCAGTCTGAGCTACACAATGAATCAAGGGCACAATAAGAAAACAAAGAGCTCATGTAAATGACTCCACAGATGGCTGACTTATAAAGATGCTTTACTTCAGTAAAGACAGTTTCTAATGAGATATAAGTAACTTCTAACTACGTAATTCAAAAATTATAAAACAAAACATTGAGGATATAGGATTTATCCTCCAGGAGCTTAGCAGGGGAGATAAACAGCAAACCAGTAAACCAGGAACTGCAAAATGCTAAGCAGCACAAAGTGAAGCAATTCAATGCTTTTATAAATAGCTGGCCAAAACTGACATAAATTCCATTTTTCCTATACTTTAGACAGTTTAACACGGAATGGCTGTAGAATACCAAATGGGAAAGTTAGAGGGTTCTTAGCAGAAGAGAAACCTAGAGCTAAGGACTAAAGGAAGAGCAGAAGTTACAGAGGCAAAGGGAGGGTTGCTTATTAGACAAAGCAAGCACAAAAACATAAAGTCAACAAAACAGTTTCTGATATCTAAGCCACCTAAGAAGTCCTTGTGCAGTATTGGTATCTTAATGAGCTGTAGGCAATCAGAAAGCAAGGGAATGTTTTTAGTACTTCCAGATAATTGTGTGCCACATTTGAGTATGTTTTTTAAAATTTTTTTTATTTTTTGACAGGCAGAGTGGACAGTGAGAGAGAGAGAGACAGAGAAAGGTCTTCCTTTGCTGTTGGTTCACCCTCCAATGGCCGCCGCAGCCAGCGCACCGCGCTGATCCGAAGGCAAGAGCCAGGTACTTATCCTGGTTTCCCATGCGGTGCAGGGCCCAAGCACTTGGGCCATCCTCCACTGCACTCCCTGGCCACAGCAGAGAGCTGGCCTGGAAGAGGGGCAACCGGGAAAGAATCCGGCACCCCAACCGGGACTAGAACCCGGTGTGCCGGCGCCGCAAGGGGAAGGATTAGCCTAGTGAGGCGCGGCGCCAGCCTGAGGTTTTTTTTTTTTTTTTTTTTTTTTTTTTTTTTTTTTAAGATTTATTTATTTGAAAGGCAGGGTTACAAAGAGAAGCGAGGCAAGAGAGGGGGCGAGAGGGCAAGAGCGAGACCTTCCATCAGATGGTTCACTCCCCAATTTGCCTCAAGGGCTGGAGCTGAGCCAATCAGAAGCCAGGAGCCTCTTCTGGGTCCCTTACAAGTACAGGGGCCCAAGGACTTGGGCCATCTTCTACTGCTTTCCCAGGCCATAGCAGAGAGCTGGATCGGAAGTGAAGCAGGCAGGGCTCAAACCAGTGCCCATATGAGATGCGGATGCTTCAGATCAGGGCGTTAACCAGCCGCGCCACAGTGCTGGCTCCAGTATTTTTTTTTTTTTTTTTTTTTTTTGACAGGCAGAGTGGACAGTGAGAGAGACTGAGAGAAAGGCTTCCTTTTCCGTTGGTTCGCCCTCCAATGGCCGCTATGGCCAGCGCAGGGCGCTGATCCGAAGCCAGGAGCCAGGTGCTTCTCCTAGTCTCCCATGTGGGTGCAGGGCCCAAAGACTTGGGCCATCCTCCACTGCAGTCCCAGGCCACAGCAGAGAGCTGGACTGGAAGAGGAGCAACCGGAACAGGATCTGGCGCCCCGACCAGGACTAGAACCCGGGGTGCTGGCACCGTAGGTGGAGGATTAGCCTAGTGTGCCGTGGCGCCAGCCCTCTGAGTATTCTTTTTAAACACAGTTTGCCCAGGAACACAAGACAGACGTGGGATTTGAAACCAATAATTCTGATTACATAGCCAGAGCTCTTAATCCTGATAATATACTCAAATTTCAAATTTGAGGCTACCTATTGTATGAGTAGCAAGACTGAATCCTGCTTAGTCAGGAAGCAGGGAGACTAGTTACGGATTTATATTTTAACCAGAAACTGCTCTGCCTTTAGGACTTAACTACCTGCTGCTCCACAGGGTCCAGATGCTACTGCACTACTGCTTCTCCAGTGCTCGAGCATATTCTAGGCCATCCTCTGCTGAAAGTTCTTGCATTCAACTACTTTCAGTTCTGCATTTACTGAAGGGATATTATGGTGAACCTGAGGGTGAATGCTCTTTTCTAATCCAAGTATCTTTACTGCATCTTTTCCACTTTTTATTCTGTTAACAATATGTACTTTATGAGGGCACTGTGGATCCTCACTATGTTTTTCATGATCTTTGGGTGAAGGCTGAAACACCTTAAGTGGAATTTTTCCTTTTTCAATTTTGTCATGAATCCAATTTATACAAATGGCAAATCCCAAGTTGGTCACAATCTGCAGTATAGCTTCCGGCCTTTCAACTACTTTAATTCAAAACCCTCGCACTAACTGTAGTAACTGTTTCCTTCAGAGGAAGCACCCACTGAATGTTCACACTGAACTTTCTGGGCAACTGATTTTTCACAAAGGTAACAAAAATAACAATATAGGAAGGACAGGAGCAGGCACTGAGGCAGGCCAAGCAAGTTAAACCACCAACTGAGATGCCTGCATCCCACACTGGCGCACTGACTCAAGTCCAAGCTACTCCACTTCCAATTTATCTCCCTGCTAAGGTCAAGAAGCTGTGGAAGCAGTGGACGATGGCTCAAGTACTTGAGTCCCAACCCACATGGAAGTCATGGACGAAGTTCCTGCCTCCTGGCTTCAGCCTGCCCCACCACCTCTGGCTGTTGTGGCTTTTGGGGGAGTGCACTAACAGATGGAAAGGAGCGCTCCTGCGTGCTCTCTCTCTCAAACAAATCTTTGTTTTTTAAATGTGGGATGGATAGTCTTTTCAACAAAGGGGCAGGCGTTTAGTGCACTGTCAACATCTGAGCCATTATGTAGCACAATTTTGCAAGATACAACCTTTGGGGAAAACTAGGTAAAGGGTATACAGATCTCTTTGTATTATTTTCCACAAATGCACATATAATTATCTTCAGATAAAAAGTAAGCCAAAGACTGAGAAAACATTGGCAATATGCTGATGAAGGATTCGTCTGTAAAATATGAAGAATCCCTACAAGCCTAAATCAAAAAACACAAACTTTTAAATGGAAAAATTTGAATATACACATTACCAATGACATCCAAGAATGGTAAAGAAACACATGACAAAATAGTGGGCACCCTTGACCAATAAGAATACATAAATACACAACCACAACTAGGTATCACCATGCAACCACTAGAATGACTCAAATTAAGGACTAATTTCAAAGTGTAGATAGATGATGTGAAGCTACTGGAAAAATCACATATCCCTTCAAGGAAATATAAAAACAGCACAGCCACTTTGGAAAACAGTTTGGCAGCTTCTCAAAGTTAAGCCATCACTAGAAGACCCAGGAATCCCACTCCTAGGTATTTACCTAAGAGAAATGAAAATGGATGTCCACACAAAGACTTGTACTCAAATGTTCAAAGCAGTTTTATTCATAATCATCAAAAGCTGGAAACAACCTTAATTTTCATCTACCAGATGACTTATAAACAAACCATTATTTACTTATATAATGGAATACTACTCAGTGATAAAAGGGAAAAACTAGTTACATGCCCTAAAAATGGATGGATCTGTCATTATACCATGGGAAACCCTGTCAGCCAACAGACTATATATTCTACATTCTATTCATAGGAATTGCTAGAACAGGCCAAAGTAAAGTGACTAACCAGTCAAAAGCCAGTTTAAGGAGAAAACATTGCCTATAAAAGGTAATGAGAGAACTTTCTGAGGTACAGAAAAATTGTATATTATGCTTGTCGACAAAGATGTGCTACTGCATACATTTAACTGATCTCACATATGAAATGTGAATTTTATTTCAGTCATGCCTCAAAAAGAAAAAAAGTGTTAAATTTCAATTTCTAGAAATAGTATTCCAATAGTTAATGGAGCAAGTGTTTTGCTGAGTGGTTAAGATGCTGGCATCCTGAGGGCCTGGCATTGTGCCATAGCAGGTAAAAGCCACTGTCTTTAACAAGGGCACCCCATATGGTTGCTGGTTCATGTCCTGGCTGTTCCACTTATAATCCAGCTCCCTGCTAATGGTCTGGGAAAAGCAGCAGAAGACGGCCCAAGTGTTTGGGCCTCTGCTACCCATGTGAGAGACCTGGATGAAGCTCTTGGGTTTCAC